CTAACTTTTTTCTTTCATTAAATAATATTAATTTATTTTAGATAAGTTTTCAAAATACTGAGTCTGTATTTGTTTGATACTGCAGTGGTTATGTCGTAGCACTAAACACATGTTGGAAAATGTACCAGCCCGGCAAGAAAGACAACCACGCCTCGTTGTGAAGTTTTTGTGACCGAGTTGTCGTCGCTAGAAGAAGCGTGGGTGGATCACGTGGGTGGTCTCGCAGCTTCCAGACGTCACACGTGACCACACGCTGGTTATCGTGTCCGGGTCACCCGTGTACAAGGTCACGGCCAGATTTTTATTGTTGACGATGTCGCATCCTGGCAACTTAGAGCAGCACTTGGGAAAACATGGCGCGGACATGCGCATCACGTCCGCTCGTTTAGCCAGCAGGCCCGTGATGTAGACGTCTTCAGGTGAGATAATCCGGACATAATCCAGTTCTGCTAGCAGGTCTTCGATAGCCTCCCCGCTGATGACGTACGTGTGTCCAAACATGTACCCCGGGTACATATCCAAGGGGTAGTCCTTTTCACTGACACCCCACCTATCACTGCGTAGGACTACTGGATTCGTATGCAAATGTCCCAAGATGAATTTATGTGTTCTTATATTACTAGCAGCGTGAAGTAAAAACTCCACCATCAAAGGCGTGTTCAAAACAGTGTCTTCATCCACTTTAACAAAATAGTTGAAATTTCTGCAATAATTAACCGCCCATTTTAAACCGTGCAACATTTTCGCTGTCAGGTTTCTGTAAACATCAACGAAATCAGCCATGACAATGTCGTTGTGTTGTTTGGATTCCTGAACCAACGTTTTAAAATCTAAGTTCCGTGTGTACTTCTCGAACCCAAACAGGAAGACGTGTTTAACCTTCACACGAATGCTCGTTCCTGGCCATGTGTTTGTTTCCGAGGCCCCGAGCCATGTATTACGGATAGCATCCCGGATTTCTTTATTCTGGGTAACGGACGGTATGACAATCAACAAAAACGGACTCTCTCCCTGACAGATGTTTTTCCCCTTGATCAAAAACTCATATTCCACGAAGTTGCCAACTGTGGCGTTTGAGTTAAAGAATTCGCTGAAAGGTTTTTCGTAATATTTATCGACAACTGGAGAAAATAAATCACCGGAAATCGATCGAGTAATATTTTCAAAAATTGTTTCTCGTTTCGTAAATTCAGTTATAGGATATTCGTTTAGATTTAACGCTGGTACATATTCCTCCGGTGTTGTTTTCATAAACGTAAATTTTTTATCAAGCAATAAATTCTCGGGGGTGTTTTCCACGAATTCAAACGTTTGTTTAGAAACTACTTCAATCGGTGATTGTGTCAGCGTTGAAAGTTTTTCAGACGACATGGCGTCAGTAGCGAACTTAGCAGCATGTCTGATGAAGCAGATCAAGTAGACGATGATCAGGAGAACTAGGATTCGAACCGTTGAGCGAATAAGACATTTGGGCTTGATGCTTCGACACATGGCTGGGAGTTCGAACATCAGTTGTCCTTGTTTTCCTATCAAAGGCAGAACAGGATTTCACTAATGACTTTACTAGTAGTTGTCGCCAAATTTTGTTGCACAAATCAGTGATGGCGATGACTGACCAACAACTTACGTCACACAATTTCGTGCTGGAGATAAAATAATAAAAAATTGATGTTGATAAATAGCTTTGTTGATATCTTATGTTAATTCTTTTTTTAAGCGTATTGCAAGCTAGAATTCAATAATCCTAGTCTGCTTTTAAATAGTGTGTGTATAAGTCTTTAGTACCGAGAAAATTTTAAGTTATAAGTCGAAAAATTAATTGTAACTTACTTGGATGAAACAGAACGTGTCGAGTATACACACAGACGTAGATGCAGAAATAAATCACAGCAACGTGTTGCAGGTGATACGGCAGATTTGAATTTGGTAGAGTTCAAAAGTGAATTCAGTTTTTAAAATATCAAAAGCGTTGGCAGGTGTTGTGGTCACATTTGTTGAGATTAAACCAATCTTTCGGTTTCTTTGCATTTGGAATATATCCTTTTTACTTGCTCGTATACGAAGTATAGAGAAAGTCATGTAATCGTGCAAAAAAATTGAGATTTTTACAAATCTCGATGTTTTAAACCTCCTTGAGTCCAAAAAAACATAGTTTTGCAATCTTGTCCAGGTATGTATGTGTGTATGTATATGTGTGTCTGCGAACACGATAATTTGAGTACCTTTCAGTTAGGTTGATGAAATTTCATTTATAAGTATTATATCAAATTTGTAGTTCTGTATCAACTTTTCAGCGATTTCTGTTAACCGGAAGTGTAACTTATTCTACTTTTAATTTTCCAAAAGCCTAAAACTTGAGTACTATTTCAGATAGATAAATGAAATTTCACTTGTAAGTAAAAGATCTAATCCTCTACCTTCTGTCAAATTTTGAGTAATTTCCGTTGACCGGAAGTAATAATTTACGCTTTTCCGATTTCTCAAAAAAACGCATGTGAATTATTAAAGTAATAAAAATATCCCGCACTATTATACACATATTATTTGGCGTTTACTTGGTGCGCAATTCTTTTTTTCTACGAAATTCTATTCTATTTTTAAAAGTTTAAGTAATTAAAAATGGATTATAAATCATGTCCATATCCCGCGTTGTCATCCCCCGTAGTGTTATATAAGAATATTCGAGAAAGTGTAGGGGAGATCACTCCCGGTTTATTCTATTAGAGGACAAATTCCAATCAGTTTTACTTGTTTGCATTCACTGGCTTTACCTTTTTTACAAGCTTTTATTTAACTCACTTCCTCTGTCTGTCGTCAGTCTGTCTAGACGGAAACGCAGGAGTGAAAATTCGGACAGTTCTACTTGACCGATACGATTCACATTTGACACGTGGGTCAAGACATGAAGACAATGCAATCTGAAACTAAATTTGACTTAATTGGATGCCTAATTAATTTTTTATGAATTAATAAAAATTTGGACCGAATTAGTAGGCATGTCTAGCCAACCACACCACACGCGTCATCACCTTCAATAGCTGCGCCATCACGTAATGGCTGCGTTCAAAAACCATTGCGCGCCTACTGAACGTGATGTTCAGTAGGCGCGCAATGGTTTTTAGTCATGTAACTCTATTGTATGACATACTCACTGTGGTGTTTGAAATGTGTCACAATTTAACACAGAACACAGTCCACGAAATTTAAATAAACACAAATCTTGAAACTAGGTCACGTTCAGTCAAAGGCGAAAGATTTACGCGTTGTGAAGAGAAACTCGCCCTTATTATAAGGGAGCAAAATGAAAAAATTTATGATTATGAGGTGTTTACCGGCATAAAATGATTCTTTGCAAAATTTAAAATCATATGAATGTGTAACCTCAATGGTGTTTACATTTTGTATATTAAATTATTCAAATTATGCTTTTTAAAATATTAATATTTTTACACATCACAAATCTAAACTATAAATATTTATTTATAAAATAATGTATTATGAACGTCTGTTTTCTTTTAAAATACCTTAAAACATTTTTCGCTACTTTTGGGAGCACATTATAAGTACTTTCCCTTGAAAAATTATTTAATAATAATAATATATAGGAATATTCGAGAAAGTTTAGGGGAGATCACTCCCCATTTATTAATGGTGTGAATTCGTTTGTAAAATATAACATAAAATTGATTTTTTTTTTCTTGGTAATTAAGGACGGTTTAAATAGTTTTGTTTTATTTTGTTCCCATATCCAACGAACGACGGTTTATGAGTCTCGCAATACAAGCAGCGGACAAACCTGGTTAACCAAGTCTCGGACAACAAACCAGGTCAACGAACCTCGGACAACAAACCAGGTCAAAGAACCTCGGACAACAAACCAGGTGAACGAACCTCGGACAACAAACCAGGTCAACGAACCTCGGACAACAAACCAGGTCAATTAACCTCGGACAACAAACCAGGTCAACGAACCTCGGACAACAAACCAGGTCAACGCACCTCGGACAACAAACCAGGTCAACGAACCTCGGACAACAAACCAGGTCAACGAACCTCGGACAACAAACCAGGTCAATTAACCTCGGACAACAAACCAGGTCAACGAACCTCGGACAACAAACCAGGTCAACGAACCTCGGACAACAAACCAGGTCAATTAACCTCGGACAACAAACCAGGTCAACGAACCTCGGACAACAAACCAGGTCAATTAACCTCGGACAACAAACCAGGTCAACGAACCTCGGACAACAAACCAGGTCAACGAACCTCGGACAACAAACCAGGACAACGAACCTCGGACAACATAATTCTGATATATCTCGAAAAACGGCCTTCGGAAAACAAGTCGGAAAACAAGGCGAATAACATCGGCGAATTAATGGCTATCTCCGAAAAAACTCCGACACCAACAATAGAACAGTTAAAGTAAAGCAAATAGTTCCACTACCACCCCCATCTCCTCAATCGTCTTAGTGTATTAACATGATACGTTTTCCTAAATAATAAAGTTATACATTTGTTGACTTTCTGTTTTAGATAAGTGTGATAAAGCTATATAACTAGGTTTCTGTAGAAAAAAACCTCTCATATATCTAGAGTCATGGATGTGTTAACACAATCTAATGAAGACAGCTGCCGGTGTAGATATAGTGTTTACCTATGTGTTAACACAATCTAATGAAGACAGCCGCTGGTGTAATGTAGTGTTTACCTATGTGTTAACACAATCTAATGAAGACATCTGCTGGTGTAGGTGTAGTGTTTACCTATGTGTTAACACAATCTAATGAAGACAGCTGATGGTGTAGATGTAGTGTTTACCTATGTGTTAAATTAACACAATCTAATGAAGACAGCTGCTGGTGTATCCGTAGCGTTTACACCTAATTAAGACCTTTGACCGGTGTATATTTGTAGTTATCACCTTCAGTAAAGATCATCGTCTAGTGTAAATGTGACATAAATCATCTTAGCGGCGCGTTCCGGTAACTAACAATTAACGCGTGTCTCCTGATGGTCTAGTCTAAATTAACGACGCAATGTGCAGGTACAGCTAATCGACTAATCGATGAATTGTAATTATATTGAGCAAGTATGTTGTTAAAGAACCAACTAGTTAAAAAATGTAAAAATGAAGTTACGTTGTATGCACATTTTGAATGACAAGATGACAATCGTGTAATACTATGTTCACAGTACACAGTATGTTTTATTGTGTGTTAATGGAAAATTTTCATGTAAGTAAATACTCTAACTTGTTCTGTATGATGGTATGTCGTTCATTTCTCAGCGACAACATATGCTAAGTAAAATTCAGAAATATTAAATAGTCTATTTCGATATGATTTTGGTGTATATATATATAGTTTGTATTTATAAGGCATCAGATGGGTTTTAATTAATGGTGAGCTGTATAAAGCATCCTGTTCGATTTGCTGTGAGTCTTTATGTAAGATGAAGTTTTGAAAGTGCTGTATTGTGCTGGTTTGTTTCTCAAATCATGGCACGTAGACAATTCACGTTAGTAAAGCAGGTATAGTCTGGCTTCCAATTTGTATCATAATACTGGCCCTGGGTTCCTAGAAATGGAAGAAAAAAAATTCTGTATTTATTTGAAAGTGTGGCTAAAAAGTAGAGTGCACGACTGCTAACCCGAAAGTCTCGAGTTCGAGTCTCGAGACCCTGTCTCCAGTTTGTAGCACGTCAGCTTTGATGTTTATCTGGAACTGACCACATTGTCCCTTCATATTCCGCGGTAAAAAAAAAAAAACCAGGCGAGCACTACTTCACCTGCACTGTGACCGTCCGGTTCTTGTTCGTTCTTACCTGTAATTTTAACAGAGGTGTTGTGAAATATTGTGAAACCATTTTAATATAGGTGTTGTAAAATATTGGGACACCATTTAAAAAGGTTTTGTGAAACAATGTGACACTATTTTAAGAGAGCTTTTGTGAAACATTGTGACACTATTTTAAGATAGGTGTTGTAAAATATTGGGACACCATTTTAGGCGGGGGTTAATCGGCTAAAGGCTCTGACGTCATATAAGGACACCTCATTATTAGGTGTAAGCAATCCTTGGTGAGTATTTATAATTTACTATAAAGCCTCGAAGCTTAGCATGCTAGTAAACGTAAAGACATTGAAAATGTATAGACGAAGTTGCTCGCTAACAAGTCGTGATGGTTTTTCTTATTTCCCTTGAACAGATACCATGACAAGACCTGTCGTCCAGCGAGCGATTCACCGCCGTGGCCTCTTACTTCTGCTGTCTCTAGTCATCACAGCACACCTGGGCTACCTAACAGCCCACCTGTTCTTCACGCTAATGAACAGCATCGACACTCTGTCAACAATCAGTCTACAACAGCAACGCTCGCTACAAAGCTTTGAATTGGCTGTCCAAAGACTGATCAACTACACAGAGAAATACTCATCCGGTGCTGAAGATCTTCAGTTTCGAAGTTATGAAAATAAAAACTTGGATTTATTTCTTGCAGACGGTGGAAACAAAATGATAAGAAGAGACCTGAATCATCATGAGGATGTGTATTTTTCGAAAGCTGATTTGTTTAAAAATATAACAAAAACGAGCGATGGTGATAAATTATTCGAGTACATTCAGGACGAAGAATATTTAGCATCAAACAGCGACTATTTTACGGAAAACAAAAACATTAACAATAATTTCGACTTCCCGTATTTGATTAACGGGGAAAACATTTGTCAAGGCCAGCCGCCATATTTGTTGTTAGTTATACCTTCGGTTGTCAAGGACGTGTTACGAAGGGAGGCCATTCGTAAAACATGGCTCCATGCAGCAGAAACCAACAAATGGCCGTGGGCGAGAATACACAAAAAAATCAAACATGTTTTCTTATTCGGGCATTTGAAGGTATCTAAAGAGAAAGATATCAAGCAGATACAATTTGAGTCCAATGCGTACGGGGATGTGGTAATGGCCGACTTTGAAGACTCGTATAGAAATCTTACATTGAAAATTTTACTCGGGTTTAGGTGGGCGGTCAAACTTTGCCAAGGTGCGCAGTTTTTAGTGAAGGTAGACATAGACACCTTGATCAACGTCCCACTGATGCTTGAATTTCTAGACCAAGTCAAGGTTTCGGTCAAAAACGATAAGTTTTTAGTTGGCCTCAAACATTTTAACTCCAAACCGGAAGTGGTCAGGTTCGGGATGTGGAGTGTTAACAGAAACGAGTACCCGTTACCGTACTACCCGCAGTATATGTACGGACACGCCTACGCGATGAGCATGGCGGCGGTGAGGGTTCTGACGTCAGCGGCGTCCCGCGTGCGGTGGATCGCCCCGGAGGACGCCTTCATCACGGGGGTGTTGGCCAAGACGGCCGGGCTGGCCCGTCTGTGGGCGCCGTGTTTTACCGTCTGCTGCCGCGACACCTACGACTGCGAGCTAGTCTGGAACCAAAATGTGGCCATCACCTCCGTGACCAGCACCACTGTCTTGCTAAAGCTGTGGGCAGGCGTGACGTCACACAGGTGCAACGACAAGGTCCCCATGTACTCACCATTTTTGTGATGCGTTTTTACAATTAATTCAGGAAATAAAATTTTAGTTTTTAATAAACCGAATTGTTACCACATCACTTTACGGCTAAAAATTGTAAAAGCAAATTTATAATATGTTCTTGGGGACCATTTCAGGGTAATGTTTTAAAAGTGGGTATAGATAGGTTTGAGTTGGAATCCTTTGGAATCTTTTCATCGTGCATGATAAGATCCTAGTTCATCAGCTGGAGGCTGAATACCCTGAGTTTACTTGAAAGGAATGAGGAGGAAGTAAATATTTTACCTCAATCTATATATATAATTCTCTTCTTCGAGCCGTTAGAAAACAAGCTGCAAACGCTCTCCCTACCTCCCCACCCCTACATGGTTTTAGTGAGCTGTGTTCACTCTAAATGTTTACAAGCAGAGCCAACGATTTTAAACGTAGGGGGGGGGGAGGAGGGGGGGAGGGAAGGAAGGGGGGGGGGTTATGGTCCTTAACGAGCTACTTATAGTGTTTTAAAGAAATATTTTCAGTGTCAGCGTTGGTACTGTCGAATTCACAAATTATGAATTATTGAAAATTAGAAACAACTAAATAGCGGGCCGGCTCGTACTGTTTATTCTGGTAAAAAAAGATGTAAAAAATCCGATTGAGTGTGAGGTTGTGATGCACAGGTTTTGACACGTCATTAGAGTTAAATACTTACTAATATTGACTTTTTCCTAGTAGCAATATCATCACTTCTCTCTTATTTTTCCTGGTCTCACTACAGTACACACACTATTTACACTAGTTCACATACATACCTTTACACCACCACACTTAGCATACCTTCACATACCACACTTAGCATACCTTCACATCACCACACTTAGCATACCTTTACATCCCCACACTTAGCATACCTTCACATACCACACTTAGCATACCTTCACATCACCACACTAAGCACACCTTCACATTATCACACCTTCACATCACCACACATAGCATACCTTTACATCACCACACTTAGCATACCTTTACATCACCACACTAAGCACACCTTCACATTATCACACTTAGCACACCTTCACATTACCACACTTAGCACACCTTCACATTATCACACCTTCACATCACCACACATAGCATACCTTTACATCACCACACTTAGCATACCTTTACATCCCCACACTTAGCATACCTTTACAACACCACACTTAACATACCTTTACATACCACACTTAGCACACCTTCACATCACTACACTTAGCATCACTCAAGATACAAAGAGAATAAACCATTCACATTTGATTGGGAGTTAAAATTTTATAAAGTGTAGTTTAATCAACAAAATATTGTCAATTTGTAAGTACATCAACAGCTCTGACATCAAAATAAAGCAATTCGTCTACATGTAAAGTAAAATTAAACTGGCAAACATCTAGATGGTTAAAAAGGGCAAACTGAAACAAAAAAAAACAGCTAGTTTATGCAGGAAAAAACAAACATTATAGTATTGAAGAAAAGTTAAACACTTTTAAAAGTAGCTGTCATGAGTTTTACTCCATGAACAGGTAAACAACTTGAAAGCGTGGCCGTATGTGTCAATAAACATATTTTAAGTACGAAACATTTTTAAGAGATAAATGTAGATTATCCATTTTTATTCTTTAGAAAAAAATAACTCTTCTCAATTTGTGTGAAGATTTCCAAAAATTAAAATGTATGTGAAATAACAGTGTAAAACAGAACAGTTTAATACACAAAATAAGTATAAACATTTTATTAAAAAAAATTTGTCAGACGAATGTATGTCACTGAAAAATGTATAAAGATTACCATAAATATTGATTTTATAACCATGTTATTTTACTGAGCAGATAAAAAGCCATTATATGACAACACGATGTGGACTAGAGACTATGTGTCCATGAGTTAGCTAAACAGATCACAACACTATAGATAAAACCTGACACTATGACTAGCACAGACTAGTTTATAAAAATAAAAACTAATTAAAAAGTGTTTTACAATCATTACTCAATAGTACTCTGTAGGTTCCTTCCCTTAGAAGCTACAAAAATTATGTTAGAAGCAAAAATTCAGTACAAGCAAAAACTCATTTGACACTAATTTAGACAAAAACAACGAAATAATACAGTTCTAATTGTGTGATTATAAATTTATCACAGATATTAACATTCAACATTTGGTTCTAGAATTTAAATACATCAAAATCAAACATGCTTTGTTGAAGCTGTTATATGTAGGGTATGTAGGAAATGTATGGAAGACATTTTAGGTAAAAATAAAAGGTTTTATTTTTAAATTAAAAAAAGAAAACAATTGCTATCAAAACTTGCAAAAACAATCAAGTTTACAGAACAAGTTAAGCTTTTGTTCAAATGGACATAATTTTAAAAATGTATATACAAAGTTAATAAGCCTAGGTACGATTTGTATTCATTGGAACCATACTCTACATCTCAAACATATGATTAAAGGTGACACTAAACATGAAATTTTTTTTATTAAAATTAAAAAAAAATTATTTTGTATATGACCAGCCAATTTCTCCATTTCTCACACAACGTTCAACCACCAAAACAGCTGCAGTGACCAACCCTAACCCTAATCCATACGACAGTACCACCGACAACGTAGTCTTCCCTCTTCTGGCTCTCCTCAACTTCATAGCCCGCACCCCACCTTCCCCACAGCAGGAGCCACCAGAACACAGGGTGCCTTCCTGTTGGTCTCCCTTAGACAACTCCGCTGGCCTCAATCTGGAGAGTACCTCTGCTGCAGTTCTCTCCCCTGCCTGGACAGCCCCACTCATGTAGCCAGACCAGGCAGTAGCTGTCTCAGTTCCAGCAAAGTGGATCCTGGGTTGGGGGATCAAAGACAACATAAGTAAACGTTAGCTCTAAGACAGGATACATTTATGTTTTGAAACAAAATTTACTTAGAAAAAACAAGGAATCAAGTAGGGCCTAATGGATCTAGATGAATTTGAGCATCAGAAATAATTTTCATTAAACAATTGGCTCTCAGAGGGGATGAACTACTATTAAAACATATTTTCTTTAGAAAAAACTAAAGAATTAAACACTGGTCTTTGAAAAAGAATAACATCTAAAGTTGTAATACAACTATTTTCCACAAACAAATTAATTAAACATTAGCTCTAAAACAATGCTACAGTTAATTTTAGATAAACAAAGTGAATGTTCTAGAATGGAGCTGAACCTTGAACCTATGACTAACATTATCAAAGTTAACATTTCCTAAAAAATGCTTCAAGAGCAACAACACACAGCCAACTTTTTAAATTTAAAATTGGTTTTTCTAGGGACTGGCTCATTAGATCATATTAGCCTTTTTTAATAGCTTAAGATTAGGGAATGAAATTTTAAGGTCAATAACAAACATTAAGTGCAAATAAATAAGTGTAGAGAGGGTCATTTATAGCTGCACTATAAGCTATAATCTTTTTTGTGTGACTACCCACAAAGGTTTATTTAAAATAATTTGGATTACCTCCCTTCAGGTCGCCTGATGGCCTTGGTAAAGTTGAGCATTCCACCTGGTGCAACATAAGACACAGGGGCTCCCCAACTGTAGGGCTCCAAGTTCCAATCCTTCTCTATGTAGGCAAGGGGCTTAAGGACTTCCTCTCCAAGGAATGCTGACAGTTGGGTCAAGACACTTTTCTTTCTCAGTTCCTCCTGGACAAATTTTTATATTAGGAAAAGATTTCTTAATAGGTTGTATTGCCCACTGATGTAAAATTAATTGATAAATTTTAGAACATAGCAAAGAAATTTCAATAAGAAATTATCACTTAGCAGGTTGTTTTTCCAACTCCTGTAACATGAAGTTACATTTTTTAATGTAGCATAAATATTTTTAAAAATAAGAATATGATTGCAAAAGAGTTAGTTTTGCCCACTCTTGTAAAATTAATAGTTAAATTTTAGAACATAAATTTTAGAGCATAAAGAAATATTTTTTTTTAAAATAGAAAATGTTTATTAAACAGTTGATTTTTTTGACCTCTTCAGTAAAAGTAATTTTTTAATCACCATAAATTTTCCAGAGAGGGCGGTGGACACTGGTAAAAGTATATTTTCAATATAAGTTCTATTTTGATATAAAGGGCTGTAGACGTTGCCTGAAAGAAACTCTAAATGTGATTTTTGTAAAGTTTGAGCTTAGGAGCAGGTTTAGGGGTACGACCATATTTAGTATATTTAATATGAATGTGCAGTAACTGAATGTAGATCAAGGTTACACTCAGTGAATGCTGATCCTGGATAAAAATCAGTTTTCAATGAAATTTTTCATTTCTGGTTAAATTCAAAGTTGAGGTGGTGGTTTTGGTTTAGAGAAAAAGACAACACCATCAACCTAGCACCCCTTGTATTTCTCCCTCATTTGGCCATTTCTCTAGTTTTAGATTATAGCATAAAATAAACCTGGAGTGATCTCCCCTAAACTTTCTCGAATATTCTTATATAACAGTACGAGGATGGCAGCTCGGGATATAGACATGATTTTTAATTACTTAAACTTTTTAAAATAGAATAGAATCTCGTAAAAAAATAATCGGGCACCAGTGAATGCCAAACTTTATGAATTCACATGCGTTTTTTGAGAAATTGGAAATAGTGTAAATTACTACTTCTGGTCAACAAAAATTTCTCAAAATTTGAGAGAAGGCAGAGATTTAGATCTTTAACTTACAATTGAAATTTCATTTATCTATCTAAAATAGTACTTAAGTTATAGGCTTTTGAAAAATTGAAAGTAGAATAAGTTCCACTTCTGGTTATCGGAAATTGCTGAAAAGTTGATACAGAACTACAAATTTGATATAATACTTATATATGAATTTTCATCAACCTAGCTGTAAAGGTTCACAGACACACACATACACTCACACAGAGACATAGGGACAAAATTGCAAAACTATGTTTTTTGGACTCAGGGAGGTATAAAAGTCTGAAAATCTCAAATTTTTTTTATATGCACTCTTATAATTATCTCGATTATTTTTTTTGCATCATTACAATACTTCCTCTAGAATTTTTTTTTATTCATTTGTTTTAAACATTTAAAATAGTAATAATAAATTTATTTGATGGTTTTACACAGCATCAATGACATGAACAATAAACCAATAATCGAGCAAGCCAAGTACCATTTTGAATTGTAAAAGTTTACTTAAAGCTTTTGCCCACTCCTGTAAAATTTATTGTGAGATCCTGGCAATGAAAATTTAAGAAAAAAAAACAAAGAAAAAGTTAACTTACTGGTTGTTTTGCCCACTCAACAGCTGGCTCCCCTGCCATAAAGCCAACTAGAGCTGGGCTTCCATTATGTGTTGTGGCATCATATGTGATACATATTGGATTGTAAATACAACCTGGCAAAGTTGCCTCCCCTCCATCAGAGACTATCTCCCCTGAAAACCCTTTGGCTCTCCAAAATGCCTGCAACAATAAATGTAGTGTAAACACTAAGTGAAGTTTAATTAACAACACTAACGGGAAACTTGCTAATAATATTGGATAATATACGTAATATGAATTACTAAATTTAAAATAAACCGGGAGTGATCTCCCCTAAACTTTCTCGAATATCTATATATATAATTATCTTCTGGGAGATGCTAGAAAACAAGCTGCAAGCGCATCCTTGCAGTCCCCTCTCTTTCTCTCTATCACTATCACTACCACCCCCACCCCACCCCCACACGGTCTGGTGAGTTGTGGTCACGCTAAATGTTTACAAATCGTACAACCTGGTTTAGTAACGGCTATTAGAGGCAGATAATTTAGTTTGAAACAATTTTAAACTTACAGGAGGTAACTAATAGGAGGCTGCTTTCACGCTGGGGGGGTGGGTGTAGGGCCGGGGTTAGGGGAAAGGGGGGGGGGGGGTTAGTGTTTTAAAGCAAATATTTTCAGTGGCAGCATTGGTACTGTCGAATTCACAAATTATAAATTACTGAAAAGTAGAAAATAAAACAACTAAATAGCGGCGTATGAGTGAACGCCAAATAAAAAGTGCATAATAGTGCGCAATATTATTAGTATTTTAAAAATTTACATTAGTTTTTTGAGAAATCGGAAGTAGCGTAAATTACTACTTCCGATCAATGGAAATTACTCAAAATTTAACAGAAGGTAGAGAATTAGATCTTTTACTTACACGCGAAATTTCATTTATCTATCTGAAATAGTACTCAAGTTATAGGCTTTTGAAAAATTCAAAGTAGAAAAAGTACCACTTCCGGTTATTGGAAATCGCTCAAAAGTTGATACGGATTCACGATTTTGATAAAATACTTATATATGAAATTTCATCAACCTAGCTGTAACGGTACTCAAGTTATCGTGTTTACACACGGACAGACAGACAGACAGACAGACAGACACACAGACATACGGACAGAATGGCAAAGCCCAGTTTTTCAGACTGGATTACGCATAAGACCTCTTAATTTTGATAAATCTGGATTGATAATTTTTGCCCGATTAAAATAAGTCCTCTATACTTCGGATGTGATGAAGGACTGAGGTGTAATATGGTGAAAATTGTTAAAATTTCAAGTGATTGTTGTGCACGATTACAATACTTTCTCTATACTTCGTATATATGAGAAAGTAAAAAGTAGATAAATAAAATTGTACAATCAAAGAGGGTCATAACTTTCACCTTTTCATAAGTGATAATAACTTTGACCATTGTTCCCATGGGCATATGTTTCATGAAATCAACACGATCAGCGGATAACTTGGGGTTAAACTGGATATGTTCTAGACATTGGATTGTAATAAAATGATATTATTTTAATATAAATATACTAAGCCATCTTTATTACCAGTCAAAATTTTATATTAATTTATCTTACAATGGTGAACTAGATAAAACAAAAAAAATATAATTACCTATTCCTTTGGGTGGCAAGGCTAGAATAACAAAGGATGCTGTACCCTTCCAACCACTGGCAGTAGTGACAGCTACAGCTGTATCTGTCTGGTACAAATATTATGGTAAACAACACACTAGACCAGGGGTCTCCAAACGGCAGCGAGGTCCTCTCATCCGGCCCGCTGAGATATTTTTGTCCACAGAAAAAACTTTTGTTTGTGATGGCTGAGGAACTTTGCCCAGAAAAATCAAAGACATGTCTGGAAGAAACTGGCCCCCGAACTGAAATTTGATAGTTAATGCGGCCCTCGGACTGAAACGTTTGGAGACCCCTGCACTAAACCAATAACATTAGTCCTTAATTGACAATAGCTTACTTTAAACTCTGGTCTGGTGTTAGTTAAAATCATTAAATATCTAAATCAAATACTTCAAAGATTGACCAAGCAATAGATGCTTCCTGTAAACATGCATAAAAAGCTATTATGAATGTTAATTAAAAACAATTACAACTGAAAAATCTGACAGGTTTTAGATTTAAATGTTTAGAGGATATTGTCCAGTTCTTTAATTACAATATTGGCCTACCTGTTTTATATCCACAACAGGATCTCCTTTCCTCAATCCTTCACTGCCAATGTGACCAGCTAGTTTTTCAGATATTTGCTGGGCCCCACCCTATTATATGAAATAGTTTATCTTTAACACATCAAGTAAACAGACTACATGTTTGTATCAGATAAATAGTTCTAGAATATTTATGGAGTGAAAGTCTTGAAATATGCTTTTACTAACAACCAATCTAATCCTCTAGTGTTCTGGTTAACTGACTAAATATGTTATTTTATTTTAATTCTGAGTATTGAACTTAACATTTCAATTTTTTTTAATTAAAGTTTTTACACTTATTACAAATGATGTCATATTAAATTCTAAATATTCAAACACAAATCTAAAAAAAACTGAAAAAAAAAATATTTTTTTTACTGACAACAATCTTCTCCTCTAGTGTTTTAGTTAACTGACTAAATATGTTATTTTATTTTATTCTGAGTATTGAACTTAACATTAAAAAAAATAATTTTAAATAACATTTTTACACTCATTACAAATGATGTCATATTAAATTCTAAATATTCAAGCACAAATCTAAAAAAAAAACATTTTGTTTGTAAAAATCTAGAAAATATTTCTTTACTGACAACAATCTTCCACTCTTGTGCCCTGTACTCTGTGGCTTCCACCAGGTTAGTGATGCCTCCAGCCATCTTTACATACAGCAGGTAGTAGAGAAATGAAACCTGGCTGGTCTCACACCCCAGGATGCTCCTTGTTGCTGCATTGTTGGCGTCACGGGCGCCTGCACCCAAAAACAACAACAGAATAATGGTTAGAATAATGAGTGGGGAATTCCATATCAATCTGCTAATAATGTTTCAAGTAACTAAATAGTTATGTATTACTTCCCCTGACCTTGTGTGTACAGAGTTCTCTCCAGATATGCAGCTAAAGATAGGGCGTCCCACTCTTCAGCACATGGATGGGAGAGTGGGTCTTCTACTGAAAGCTGATTGGCATATCTGTCCAACTGGGAGTAGAACATAAAGAGATTAATATAAACAGGAATAATACTGACAATATTCTCTAATAGGCATGAATGCTGATGATTTTCATACTTGTGCTATCAAATGAAAATTTATTTTGCTTTACTTTAAATGAGAAAAAACCTTCACACAAAAAACTATACAAAACAATGATTGATATAAATGTTTAGCAAAATAATTTTTAATCTTACATAACTATACTGTTATTATGTTTTACATGATGATAAAAAAAACTGAGGTCCTAAACAGAGGCATAGCGAGAGGGGGGGGGGGGCGGGGGTGCGGACCGCACTGGGTGACACCATTTAGGGGGGTGGCACCAAGGCAAAAAATAGCAAAATATATAGAGAAAAACTTGAGAGGGGTGCAAATCGAAAGTTTGAGGGGAGGGGTGCAAATAGAAAATTGGAAAGTTTGTCCCCGGGAAGGGTCGCTACGCCTCTGGGGGGTGACTCCATTAAGTGCCGCACCGAGTAACACCTGAACTCGCTACGCCACTGGTCCTAATACAACTTAAACAACTAAAACAAATATAGCTGTGTTTTTATAACAATATTTATGTTAGTTTTCTATCAAGCTACTTAATATGTTTTAACCGTTATAACTTTTACCAAGCTACAGAATATGTAACACGGGTTATTGCCATACTTTGAACATGAGCCATTGAAGATCTAACAAAGCACAGATTGAGAGCTTGGGAATGTTGGACGTATAGGATCTAATTTTGGTCTCTCCGAGCTGCTGGTGTTTAGTCCCTTTGATGTACTGCGGGTAGGTGTCAATGCCAAGCTCTTTCAGCAGGTTTAATATATGAGGCTGACATCTAGATAACATGTTTTAATATGTGAGGTTGGCATCTAGGAGACAAGTTTTAATATGTCAGGTTGGCATCTAGATGACAAGTTTAAATATGTGAGGCTGACATCTAGATGACATGTTTTAATATGTGAGGTTGACATCTAGATGACATGTTTTAATATGTGAGGCTGACATCTAGATGACAAGTTTAAATATGTGAGGCTGACATCTAGATGACATGTTTTAATATGTGAGGCTAACATCTAGATGACATGTTTTAATATGTGAGGCTGACATCTAGATGACATGTTTTAATATGTGAGGCTGACATCTAGATGACAAGTTTAAATATGTGAGGCTGACATCTAGATGACATGTTTTAATATGTGAGGCTGACATCTAGATGACATGTTTTAATATGTGAGGCTGACATCTAGATGACAAGTTTAAATATGTGAGGTTGACATCTAGATGACAAGTTTAAATATGTGAGGTTGACATCTAGATGACAAGTTTCAATATGTGAGGCTGACATCTAGATGACATGTTTTAATATGTGAGGCTGACATCTAGATGACAAGTTTTAATATGTGAGGTTGGCATCTAGGAGACAAGTTTTAATATGTGAGGCTGACATCTAGATGACATGTTTTAATATGTGAGGCTGACATCTAGATGACAAGTTTTAATATGTGAGGCTGACATCTAGATGACATGTTTTAATATGTGAGGTTGGCATCTAGATGACAAGTTTTAATATGTGAGGTTGGCATCTAGATGACAAGTTTTAATATGTGAGGCTGACATCTAGATGACAAGTTTTAATATGTGAGGTTGGCATCTAGATGACATGTTTTTATATGTGAATTTGGCATCTAGATGACAAGTTTTAATATGTGAGGTTGACATCTAGATGACAAGTTTTAATATGTGAGGCTGACATCAAGATGACATGCAGGTTTAATATGTGAGGCTGACATCTAGATGACATGTTTTAATATGTGAGGCTGACATCAAGATGACATGCAGGTTTAATATGTGAGGCTGATATCTAGATGACATGTTTTAATATGTGAGGTTGACATCTAGATGACATGTTTTAATATGTGAGGCTGATATCTAGATGACATGTTTTAATAAGTGAGGCTAACATCTAGATGACATGTTTTATTATGTGAGGCTGACATGACATGTTTTAATATGTGAGGCTAACATCTAGATGACATGTTTTATTATGTGAGGCTGACATCTAGATGACATGTTTTAATATGTGAGGCTGACATCTAGATGACAAGTTTTAATATGTGAGGCTGACATCTTGATGACAAGTTTTAATATGTGAGGTTGGCATCTAGATGACAAGTTTTAATATGTGAGTCTGACATCTAGATGACATGCAGGTTTAATATGTGAGGTTGGCATCTAGATGACATGTTTTAATATGTGAGGCTGACATCTAGATGACAAGTTTTAATATGTGAGGCTGACAAGTTTTAATATGTGAGGCTGACATCTAGATGACAAGTTTTAATATGTGAGGTTGGCATCTAGATGAGATGTTTTATTATGTGAGGCTGACATCTAGATGACATGTTTTAATATGTGAGGCTGACATGACATGTTTTAATATGTGAGGTTGGCATCTAGATGACATGTTTTATTATGTGAGGCTGACATCTAGATGACATGTTTTAATATGTGAGGCTGACATCTAGATGGCAAGTTTTAATATGTGAGGCTGACATCTAGATGACAAGTTTTAATATGTGAGGTTGGCATCTAGATGACATGTTTTAGTATGTGAGGCTGACATCTAGATGACATGTTTTAATATGTGAGGCTGACATGACATGTTTTAATATGTGAGGTGGCATTTAGATGACATGTTTTATTATGTGAGGCTGACATCTAGATGACAAGTTTTAATATGTGAGGTTGGCTTCTAGATGACAAATTTTAATAAGTGAGGTTGACATTTAGATGACAAGGTTGAATCTTTGATTCAACATAATCTAAAAAGCAATTTTAAAAATATTTTTATTTCCAGTTTTATAATTAAATTTAAATACTAAATGTATTTTCATCACAAGACGAACTCAGTCAGCACTGTAAAATAAAATGTGCGCCTAACAAAGATAAAGATGGCCCCTACCTGCCCACCCACTGGCCTCCAATGTCCCATAGATCTGTTCCTGTTGAGGATTTTAATGGCACTGTCTGTGTTCTGCCTCCTACTCTGTCTGTTAATACGGATGTTAATAAGGATGTTAATAAGAGAAACATGTTAGAGAGATGTTACTGCTGGTTTGATATTGTGTACAAGTAAAAATAAAGGTTATAACTTTGACAGTTTGATTAAATAAAATTCAAATCCAAAAGTACACCATAACAATTGTGTATACAATTTGTAGCAGTAAAATGTGGATCAATGACCAAAATGGACAAAAAGAAGCAACACTACTCAGATGTTAAGGACTCAACCCAACTAGCAGTGACCTATTCTTTCACAGCTTTATTAAATTCTAACAACAAAAAATCACACATATGTATATTAAATCTGATCATGTAAGCTTGATTACGTAAGTAAATTTGATAATGTAAGTACTCTTTCACAATCAGACTATCACAGTGCAGCTGATTTTAGACATGCACACATGAAGGGATTGTGTACTTAACTATAGTCCCTGCAGCTTAAACATATCCAACCCAAGAACTATATGCATCAGCAACTGTGTGTTCTACCATTCAATCATACAGGCATGATGGGGTTGAATGTATCAGACCATTGAGCCTGGTTTAGCTTTTTGTGATGAGTATGCAATAAAAATGTAAACATAATGGCTTGGCATTTATGGAAGGTGTCTACACGCATATTTTAAACATATTTATCTCACTGTGCATTACACACACCTGATAGTTCAAACATATTAAAGGGCAAATAGTGTATCCTATGTGCTGTAAAATAAGTTTTATAGGTGTGAATGTTGTGTTCAGTTGTCAGATACTATGATGGAAGTGTCGACTACAAAGTGAATCTTTTCATTGCATGTTGAAATGAATGCATACCTTTGCCTTCAAGGACCACAACTTTAGCATTCGGGTCTTTTTTCTTTATGTTATATGCTGCTGTCAAACCAGAAATTCCAGCACCAACAACTATTACATCATAGTTATTGTTCATGATGAGGAACTGGATTTCTATAAATAAAAAAATAAAAAAAATTGGTAATTTTTTTTAAAAGCAACATTATTTTAAATACTTTCTTCAAGCTATGTCTTTTAAAACATGCATTAAGATAAAATATATAGTGGACTGCTAGTAAACAGAAGAAAGTTACAACAATGCTGCCACTTTCACTGATACCACTTAAATCGCGAAGTTTCTATGTAAAATGTCAATGTAAAAAGAATTCACTCTAAAATAAAAACACAGATTCATTAAATAGAAAATAAGAAATAATCCTGCCATACAATTAAACAACAAATCTTGTTACTTTGTTATTCTGCTTTTTTCTTACTTTATCTATCCACTATGGTAAAGAAATGTGCACACTGATAACAGCTAACATAGGACTTTTAGATCTGTAGCTACTAGTAGTTATCAGTGAATCATAAATAACATTTTTTTAAAAATACAGCTGTCTAATTTTAGATAAAAAAACTCCTTGTTTAAAAGCTTTATTGCTAGTTGATGTGCCCATACCAGCATTTGATATCAGTTGCCAAACCAAAATGTAATGAATGAAATGAATATAACATCATTTTTTGGAGTGAATTAGTAATATATTATATTAGGGTTATTACAAGAGTTACAGGTTTATACCTAAATAATCATAATGAATTCAACAAATAATTTACTAGTGTTCAGAAGTGCTAATCAATAAGTAGATTAATACTTCTGTATAGGTAAAAAAAGAAAGAAATTAGGGAACATACACAATGGTGTAAATAGGTTGGGTATAGGGCTGGTAAGTAGGCCACCAACCAGTTCTATGGCTCAATAAAACCTGCATGAGCCATAGATCTGGTTGGTGACCTACTTACCAGCCCTATTACCCAGTGCATTTACTTAGGGTCCAGGGGGCCTTTTTATACTAAAGTGTAAGAATCACAAAAACTACCCTCCACCACCCCCATTGACAAAGTTGTTGACTTTGTCTTCATTTCTATTTCTAAACTAGTGTAACAATCTCACACGTTGCTGCAATTTAAAAAAAAGAAGCTGATGCAACATTTTAAGATGATTTCATCAATGTGTTATCAATCTTGTATTTTTAGATGCGTGATCTTGTTTTCTAAAACTGCGTTATTTAGATGTAACTGATGCTGACGTTATATTTCTTGGATCCTAGTTTTTGGGGCCAGATTTGTCCACACTACTGCCCAGATGCTCCAGGGCGCGATGTATGAGAGCCTTGAGTGTACATATCACCCTGTGTAATAGCAAGGTAGAACACACTGCAGCAACCACCCATGTGTCAGAGTGCTAGACTGCTAACCTAGAAGTCTCGAGTTCAGATCCCAGGCTCGAGTCAGTTGGACGTCCCGTCCATGAGTCAACTCAGGTCTGATGGGTACATGACTCACATTAGGGAAACAAAGGCGACTGTATTGAAACATGTGAACTCTAATTCATCTGTCCCATATTATGTATCTTGGGCACGAATGGGGAAAAGATGATGGGGTCATCTGACGGATGGGGTTTAAATTTAAATCTATTAATTAGTAACAATTAGGCCTAGTAATATATTATATAGTTAGCATAGGCCTGGTCATAGACCAAGTAAAGTTACAGTTAGCCCTAGTTCAATAAATAATTAAATAGACCAAGGAAAGGACATATTTTAGAATGTATGATGTAGGCCTAAGGCATTAAATATTAAATAATAGTATTATTATTAGTAAGAAGTAAGCAGGCCTATGTCCTGCCCTAGCCCTTATAAAAATTATTTAACTATTACATAGATCTAGATTCTAGTATATAGATTCTAATTAATTATTAAAAATATATCATGTCACTGACTGGTTAGTAGGCCTACTGAACTACTGATGAAACTGATGTTTGTACTGAGATTGTACTCAGTGTCACCACAGACACAGGGTCAGGTGTAGTGTGTAAAATAGATCTAGATCTAGATCTAGATTGAATATTGTAGCCTAACTTAACTAATAGATCTAGATTCTAACTGGTAAGCCAAATAGAATCTGGATCTAGATTCTAGATCTAGATCTAGACCTAGATCTAGTAAGATAGTGTTTTAGAAGTTGTTGTAAAATATTGTAAAAGTAATGTTATTTGTTTGGGCCCAAGTCTGTCGGAATTTTTTCACCACAAAGGGAGGCTACTGTCTTAATTTATTTTTCATCATTCGTGTTTTATACTGCTAGACATCTCTAATATTCCTTTTTTTTTTAATCTAAGAATGTTGTTTACAAAAACTCTTCCTCTGTAAATTGTAGTGTAGGTCTAAATATATTAATATAGTAATTACACTATTTTGTGATAGATCTTAGAGTCTAGCCTAGACTATCTATAGATCTAGACCTAGAATCTAGATTATATCTATTCTAGATTCTACAAATTTATTTTTGTAAAGTAAATGAGCAACTCGAGCAAGGACGATGCCGCAGCCCAAGCCACAGCAACTGGCATTGCCAAAGTAAATTTACAGCAGGATGGTGGTAAAGTAAAATTTATTTTACTGGTGCAGCTAGACTCTAGATTAGTTACTCATGTAGCACTGTTTTGTAAATAGCTAAAATTAAAGTTTAAAGCATTGAAATTGGAATGAAATTACGAAGTGACTACTCAGAAGAAGATTTTTCTCCCCAACGTCTCTACTTAGTCGGTAAAAGATAGCTCTGCGGTAAAAGATAGCTCTGCGCATGCGCAATGACCGATGGCTAGGGTTAGGGATAGGATTAGGGTTGGTGTTAGGGTTCTGCGGTTGTAAACACACACATGCGCAGTACTATCGAAAACATCTCTGCGATGGCAAGTCGCAGTTTCTCTCCATTGCGCATGCATATCTTTTTCCGGCTAGCATGAAATTATTGTCTTGATGTGTTAAGTCATAAGTGTAGTTTAGTTAAGTTAATAATTACCATACATAGTTACATACCCTACTACTAATTCCCCTTTCGTCTTGTCCCTGCTTGCCTATGTGTAGTGTTATTGATTATAACTTGGTGCTTGTTGTGATCAAAGAACAGCAGTGGTTGTTATTTAATGTGTGTGGGTGCCAACTGGAGCCTAATCTGGGGGAAGGGGGGGGGGGGGGAATGGGGGCGGACTAAAGTTTTGGGAAATCCAATTTCGTTGGGGTGGTAGGGGGTAGACTTTCTTTCTCCCCCCCCCCCCCCCCCCCCCCCCCCAGCGAGGAGATGCCTGGAAGAAACACTGCTAAAATCTCTAGGCGCATTAATCCCTCCTACCACCCTTACCCTAGTAATATTGTAGACCTACTACTAATGATTTAATTTTAATGATGTCAAAAGCAAGAGGCTCTCATATGAGCAAAATATGAGTAGCTATAGTTTTAGTTTATAGCTCATTCATTTCTTCTCAATGCAGGTTCCTATTTAAGAAGAAATAATGGTTCTAGCAAGGCCAATTTTGAAAAAAGGGAAAAGAGAAGAAAAATTAGAGAACTGCAGGCATCTATAGTCAATAGAAATGTTCCTGATGTGAAAATGATTCTGAATTCTGATTTTGATGTAGATTTTCAGTATAATAGCCAAACCTCATTACAATTGGCTGTATGTGAAGGATCATATGAGATTTGTGAATTGCTAATCAGTAAGGTAGGTTTAAAATCTAGTAATATTTTTCATTGTTAATGGTGAAAAAAACGAATTGTATGTTAAATTTTTTTAATGTACTGTAGTAATGTAGTAATTAATTTAAGTTTTTACAAATACTTCTAAATTGAAAGTTTAAATCTTGTAATATAATGTATAATATAAAATATAAAAGCTAAACAAATACTCTGCTTCAGAAAGCCAATGTGAACCAAACTGATGCTGATGGAAACTCTTTGCTGAACAAGGCATGCTGGAGAGGGTTCTCTGAAATTGCTCAGCTGTTGATTGCCAATGGGGCTGATGTGGACTCGCAGAATGAAGCTGGTAATTCTTCACTCAATGTTTGTGCCCATAAAGGATATTCTCATATAGCTGAGGTAACCATATGCATATCTTTTGCTATTAGAATTAAATTATAGGATAGTATTATACTATCTTTTGTTAAGTTAATTTATGTAGAAGTTATTTTTTAAAAAGCCCCATCTAAAACTATTTTTATTTGTTGAAATTAAAATATTTGACACTAAAGATTTTTCACCAATTGTAGATTACCTTGTATTGTCTTCCACTGTGCTGGTTAGTGAAATAAGATCTTTAATGTAACACTATTGCCTCGGTAGTGTGTCATTCCATTCTCACTTTAGTCCATCACTAATCAGAATGGCACATGGGCTTCATCAGAGTGGTGCCGTGATTTGTGTTTCACTCAGGCATAATTTTCATGGGGAGGGTCACAGTGTAGACATCCCTAATTCAAATGTGTTTCCATAGGAAATCTTTTAGACAAGTTGGGTGGTCCTTACTCCCTACCCTGCATTTCCAGCATATAACTGGTCCACATTCTAGTAAAATAAAACATTTTAAAGTTTTTTTTGTGTTAATAATTATTTTTTTTTAAGATTTTGTTTTAAAGATTCAAATTTTTTTTGGTGGTTTCACAGATTCTTTGTGCAGCAAAATGCAACATGAATCTGGCAAATGCACGAGGACACACCCCTCTATTCAGTGTGTCACAGTCTGGCAATGTTGCCATGGTGCGGCAGCTGCTCAAGGCAATGGCAGACCCTGACTGGGGAGACTACATCTTCAAGACACCGCTCATGGTGGCCGCAGAAGAAGGTCACTTGGAGGTAGTTCAGGCGTTATTGGAAGGAGGTAACTGAAGAATTAGAAACTTTTTAAAGTTCCTTAATAATTAAAAATATTTTGAAAATTACAGTTAAAATATTCCCATAGTATTCATGTATTTTATTTCACCAGAATGTACAAAAATATTTTGAAAATAAGACTGTGTTAAAATGTATTCATAATATTCAAATTTCACTAAAGATGTGTACATATGATAATGTGTTTATTTAAAAAAAAAATGTTTTTAGTAATTGTCAGTGCATTACATTTTTTTCTACTTTATTCAAACTAAATAAATAGTTACTTACACTATCATCATTAACACTCATCCCAGGAGCAGACGTGAACAGACAGAGTCGCACAGGGCGAACAGCTGCTTATGAGGCGGCTTGCCATGGGTATGGAGACATTCTTCAGGTGTTGGTAAAATACAAAGCAAATTTGAATCTATGCACAACCAAGGGCATTACCCCATTGTTAGGTGAGTTACAGTTCTTCAAGTGTTTTTTATATATTGCTTTATTTCTTTTGTTTAAAATCTAAACTGTCTTAAAAAATTAGGAATCTATTTAATTCATAAATGTAATAAATATGTTATTTGGTATTAAGTTTTTTTTTAAATTATTAAAAATTTGACTTGCAGAGGCCATCTCCAGCAACCACACAGAAGCTGCTAGAATCATCATTCAGTCAGGCTGTAATGTTAATCAAGCTGATCGCACTTGTTGGGCTCCAATACATGCAGTCATTAGACAAGGTAAGGAGCTGTAAAACATTGAGCGTAGGTATAGATGGCTTGTGATATCAAGGAAAACTAATTCAGTTACCTGTTCTTTCCAGTATTATAATTGTGAAAATAGGCATGATGTTTATACCAAAGAATAACATGTTTAATTTTTTTGTTTAATCACATTGATACATGAAGTGTCAGACTCTTAGATCATTATTTACACCCTTTTACTGAAACCATGAAGTTTACATATGTTCTTATCATAAAGATACCTGCCAGGCTCTAGACCAAATCAACATTTGAGTTAGCAGTCACAGGCTCCATTTCATTAAAATCTTTCAATGTTTCTGCCAGCTTCCATTTGTTCTACCTGCCTACTCCATTTAAAGATTTGTAACAAGACAGGTTATATCAGTAAAAATATATACACTGTCATTAAAAAGATTGTAAGAATTGTTCAAAAGTCTGTCAAAAATTAATTTAATTTGCATATCAAATGTTTTTTTCCATGTCAGTATCCAACATGTTTGACCCAGGAGATAACATTGAGATGCGAAAGCTTGTCGGCATATTAGTGGACGCTGGCGCTGACGTCAACAAATTTGATGAAGAGAACTGGACACCTCTGTATCAAGCAGCATCTGCTGGTGACTATGGTAACAAAAAATCTGAAATTTTGATTTGTTTTATTATCTAGGATTCTTGGTATGGTTAGTGAATTTTATGTTATGGTTTTAAGTTTTAAAGTTACTTTTATCCTAGTCAATAAAATGTACTTAAAATACTGCAAAATTCTACCGTTAAATTTTATCAAATTTATTGTGCTGTAGAGTAGACACTATAAATAGCAATATAAGACATACAAGATAAACGTAAAAAATTTTTTTATTTTAATCACTCTGTACCTATGTGTCATTGGCTATTCAGGCAATGAAATAACACTATATGTAAAATTTTATTTGTTCTGTCAAGTCACCATCCCCAAGAAGCATAGTTATAATAATGCCAAAGTATTTCATTTTTTTTGTTTACTTTTAGACCTGTGTAAATTTTTGTTGGAGAGGGGAGCTGCAGTAGATAAATACACTAAGAAAGGCAGCTCAGTTCTGCATGCTGCTGTGTATGGTGGGAAGCTGGATATTGTCAGACTTTGTCTGGATGCTGGTAGGTGATCGTACAAGGTTTTACAGTTTTTAGAATTTTTGGACCGTCAGACTATCAAGTTTTATTTAATTGAAGATTCTTAATTTAAAAGTGATTAATTTTTTTCAAAAAGCAAATAATACTTTGTAATTGTATAAACAATCATAATATAATTTGTCTGTGTTTTAAATGAGTTGATGTTGCCTTTTTAAAAATATAAACTATTGTTTTGAAAGCCAAGTCTAGATTGAAAACAGAAAATTACAACATGCCAGATATACATTATTGATTTCAAAGCCAAATCTAGATTGAAATCTAAGGCAATCATAATAAGCCAGATGTGTTTTGAAAGGTTTGTAAGGTAATAATTTGTTTACCTATAATTGAATACTGATCCACTTCTGGAACTATTTCTGCAGGCTGCCAGGTAAATGCAGTGGATGAAGTAGGTCAGCATGCTTTACTGGCAGCTGTTTCTTCCAGGTGTGACATCAAGGTAAGAATGCAACATACTGTTTTCTGTATCTTTTTCATTAATAAGTTTCCAGATTGCAAAATATTGTTTTCTGTATCACATTCAGCAATGAGTTTTTGTCCTGCTATATACAGTGAAGGTCAAGTTGATTTAATGTATAATTAAGAACAATGTAATATATTCTTCAATAATTTTTATTCTTTTATTACATCAGTAATATTTTTTTAATTAATAACAATTCTAGCATTTATCTGCAATTGTCTAGATGTATTACTTTTGAAGGAAATAGATTACTTTTAATAAATTAAGAAACTTTTAAAAATATTTAATAATTGTCATATTTATCAGGAACTTATGCAAAGTTTTTTGCCTTACTTGATCTGTTTTTTATTTTAATCAACATTTTAATTTGTTTTATCTTTTTAACTTTGAAGATGTGTACACAATAAATGTTCTTGGAGAATGGATAGCTTAGATTTTAGTTTTAGTGTAGTAAACTATACTTATTTTACCAGTCTGTAACAGAACATGCCTTTAAAATTGTGTCATCAACTCAATTCCTTTATAATCCTCTGCAATTGATAGGCTTACATTATTTCTCAATAAAAATGTCTGTCATTTATTATTTTAATACCTGGGTAGATATTTTAATTTTGTAATAATAATTTTTATAATTGTTCCATTTCTTGTAGATAATTGAAGCACTTTTGGATGCTGGCAGTGATGTGAACATTGCTCATAACTTAACCAAACAAACAGCTTTACATGAAGCTGTTTGCCAGCAAGTTGTGTCTGCTGCCCGTCTGCTCATTGATAAAGGTGAGTTTTATCTACACTTTGTACTGCTGTGTGGGCTCAGTCATATCTTATGGACTTGAGCCTGGAATCCAAACTTAAGACATTCAGTTTAGCAGTCAAAGCTCTACCATTTGACCTTGCTGTTCCACATATCACATATGTCTCTAGAAGCAGGTGTTAAATACCACCTGATATATGTGTCTCAGGTAGCAGGTGTTCAATATGTGTCTCAGGTAGCAGGTGTTAAATACCATCTATGTCTCAGGTAGCAGTTTGAGTGCAGTCAACTGTGAGCAGAAGTCCCCCCTCTACCTGGCCTGCTGGCGTGGGCTGGTGGAGACGGTTGAGTACATGCTGAGCAAAGGATGCCAGACATCCAGTCCTTCTATCTCAGGGTTGCCCATCCATGCTGCAGCCACTCAGGGCAGATCCAGCATCATTCAAATTTTGTCTGACAACGGCTGCAATCTGAACCAGGTACTCTTGAATCAGACTGTTATATGACACCAGTTACCATATGCGTAATATAATGTTTCATATTGTGATGACTCAACTTTTTTTAATGTATGGTGATTTGGCTGACTCAATTTATTGTAATTATTATTCTACACTTATGACATGTTCTGAGTTCATTTGATTATTTCTACTGTAGATGAATGAGAAAGGAGAGACCCCTATTATTGCTGCTCTAGCAGAAGATAACTTCTCAGCAGTAAGAGCTCTACTCCAGTGTGGTTGTGATATTGAGGCTCATTTGAAGGTTGGCATTTTTAATACTCAGTGTAACATTTTAAAATAAAAATGTATACATTTATTTTTAATTTCAATATTAAATAAATACATACAATTTAAAAATGTTATTCTTTCAGGACTACAGTTTTAAAATTTTGCCAAGACTTCAGTTTTACTCATGCATACTTTGAAAAAAGTTCTGTACCTAACTATTTTTTGCCAGGTGAAGCCTCCTCAGATTTGCTGTCTCCTACATGATGATCCACATCCACATTTAGGTCTGGATCCACTCTTCCTGGCCCTGACACACAAAAACATGGATATGATGAAAATGTTGCTGCAGTGTTACAGGTATCATGATTTTTATTTTGTTTTCTAACACTGAAGATGGTTGAATGTGGCACTGCGGTTGAGATGCAGTAAGTAAGTAGTAAAGTTCCCCTTTCAAACCTGACGGTCTATGGGGCAAGTGAAGTAGAGTTCACTTGTTTCTGTAACCTCGGCATATGTAGAGATAGTGTGGTCAGCACTATGCCCAGCCGCCTTTACTTTCCCTAACGTGAGTTAGGTACCCATCAGAATTGGGTGGACTCAGGGACGGTCTACTGACTTGAACCCGGATTCGAACTCGAGACTTACGGGTTAGCAGTCCAGCTCTCTACCGCTAGACCACTCCGTCCCTGAGATGCAGGGCTAGTGTTAAATTTCTTTAGTTAGAAGAAAAAATAGTCTAGAATTTGGAAATTATTCCTGTCCAACGCAACAGATAAAACTTGGGTTCACTGGGTAAAGTTCTGGGCATGAGTCCACCCAGTTCTATTGGGTATCTGAGTTGAGACCAGATGTCAGCCAGGAAATGAAAAACTGGGCTGGCACAGCCTTGACCACAGTCCCATCAGAATCTGAGGTCTAAGAAACAGTTTAACTCTATTCTCACTATGGACCATCTATTTAAGAAAGGGTACATCATTTGCCCTTTGTCCGTCAGTTTTGAAATAAAACTTTACATTTACTTACTTTATCTTTAATTTACCAAAATTAAAAGTTTTATTTGGGATTATAAAATGTTGCGCAATGAGAAAAAAGTCTGAAAATTTTTAAATAAATGAATATATATTTATCTTTTGTTTCTTGTAGTGTAATCCCCCATAGAACTATTCAAGTTTTGGAGGTTTTGCTGAGACGGGCTCAAGGAATCAACACCCACTACACACCCCAACAGAAAAAAGACATATTTGATTTATTTAGAGTGAACAAATGCACACCTTTTAGTCTGAGTGACGCATGCAGGCGGTGTATTCGGGCGGCACTAGGATCACCCATGCAGCAGAAAGTGACGCACCTGCCAGTTGGGGAGAAGGTGAAGAAGTATATTTTAATGGAGGCGGAGTTTGAAGTCTGGCAGGAAGTGGAGTTAGATATGCCAGGTGGGAAGACTGGGTTCTCTGACATTTTCATCCACCATAATCCATATTAATAATCCGCTCAGTTTTTGGGCCACACCATTATCAGTATTGATCTGCTTTGTTTTTAGATTATAACTTAGTGAATATTGAGCTGCTTAGTTTCAGGCTATTAGAATACAATAATAAATATTTAGAGGAAAATTTATATTATAAATTTATAACAGATTTCCTTTAAAAAACACTTTTTTTTTGTTACATTTTCTTGAAATTTAAAAAATTGTTTTTAATTTTCATAATGTTAGGAAAACTTTTTATATATATTTAAAGTATATATACGAAGTAATTTTTTATCTTATTTTGCAAGACATTGTGTTTTTAAAAAATACCAGGTTTGAAATTTTAATCCAATCAAAAGAAATTTGTTTTTCTCAATATGTTACTTTTACATTTCACATATCAAAAGAAAATGTTCAAAATTCAGAAGTACACTGAATAGCGCCTCATAAACTAGCATCAAACATACTTACACATAGAAACATGTCTATTTATTTAACAGCCATTGTTATTCAAATTTGCTGCTTGTGACAGTTACCTTTATACTGCTCATTAAAATATTTTGCATAATTTTAATTATCATCTGCTGTGTGTTAAATAAAAATATATTTATTACGCAGTTAATAAAAAGTGCAATTTTTGTGCCTTGTATTCACATGTTCATATTTGAGTGATGTTTTTTTTTATTTAAACTAATATTAGCTGTAGAAAACTGTTTTAGAAGACCGATCCTTAGTTTTTCACTCAAAAACATGAACTTTTTTATGAAGGATAAAATCATAATTTGTTTTTTAAACATTTGAAAGAAAACTTACAAAGTCAATTAAAATGTGTATGCTAGTTTAATTTGTCAGTTGTTAATAATTCTACTTTTTTTCAGTTAAAGCTTTTCCAAATTTTTAAGACTAATTGTTAGCAACATAATATTTTCTTTTTTATATGCAAAGTGGGTTTTTTTCCTAAAATTTACCTTTAGGATAACAATTTTTTAATAGTTTAAATGAAATCAAATAGATCATTAAGATTTTCTCTGTTATTAGTAAAATTATTAAAAATATAATAAATGAAAAACATGTAAAATGTAAGGATGAATTCACCATAAACAAAGTAAAAAGGTCATATTTTTATGTTCTTTTTTTAAACCTGTGTCTCAAAATTCAATAATAAAATATATCTTACTGAAATATGTGAACATTCAATGTTTTATGGTGATTGTTGTGAATATATCCAACAGTTATTACTTAAATCTCAAACAAAAAGGACTGTTTAAATGAAATTCTCTTAGCCAAATATTTCAAAACACATACACGTGCATTTTTGTATCAAAGTATAATATCTGAACATACAAGTTGGGTGATAAGCTGTAAACTTCAGGAGCAATTTGTCAGAGAGCACTATTATTCATTTCTCCTGAACTTGTATCAAAGCCAATCTTGTATTTATTCTCTCCCTTACCTTACTGTGTAGAGCTCAACATGTGAATGTTATTTTCTTTGTAAACTATGTTTTATCCTGTATTCTTTAAGTTCAGAAATTGAAATGCAATGTTACACAGAAAGATAAATTTTATTTTATTTTATTGCATTTTATTAGTTTTTCAGTAAATATTTTAATTCTAGTATTTGAACACTTGAACTATTATACTAATAGTTATGCAGTAGAAGTGCATTTCTACTTCAACATTATTATTAGTTTTTTTTTCCACCTGGGCAAAATGTTAAATTTTAGATTAAAGAATAAGGTTTACTAATGTACATAACACAATGATCAGGAGAGAATTTATTTTAATTTTAAAAGTACTAAACTTCATTGCTAGTCACATTGATTAGTTCAAGCTTCAAACTGAAGGCATAATGTATTATATTCTTTTATAGCTGTTCTATGCAAAACTGTTTGTGCTGTGTTCCATTAAAAACTTAAATTACTCACAACAGGTGTATTTTGACATGTATTAAAGCTAAAATATTTTGCCTCCTTGTTCAACTAGGAATTATAAAATAATCAAGCTTTAGAATTTACAATTTCTGATGCTTGTTTGAAGTCAGAGTGAGTAAATAAGCACATTGTCTATTAAAATACAAGCAAGACAAAATGTAGAAATTTAATAAACAACATTACAGATGGCACACTGATAAACCAACACACACGCATAAAATAAATTACAAACAGGTTTCAAATTTTCTTCATCTTGTTTATTAGATGTTGATTCAAAGTCATTGAACTACAAATGTTTGTATCACAGAAACAGACTAATGCTCATTTAAACTTGATAATTAATAATTACAGCACAAAAGTTGATTTTACATAAGTATAAATAAATCTAAATAAGAAAGATATACATTTCTTTCAGATTATACCTGCATTTAAATTAATTGTACATTGAAATGTACATTAAATAAGAATTATTAAACAAAGCTCAGTAGCAGTAAATAAAGGGGAAAAAATCTGATATGAATATCAAATAAATAAAATTGAGAGAATTATGTTCTGCATCATAAAAATAATTACAAAGATTGCATCCAAGTTCAAATAATATATAAAATACACATTAGTCAAAAGTCTGTCCACAAATAGTATATGTCGTTTTATTCTGTTTTTAAGCAATTTAAAACTAAGTTAATAAAGGAATAACTAAGTGTTATTAAAAGTACTGTATCATAAAGAAATTATTGTCAAATACCCTACTCGTCATATAAATCCCTGTGTAAATACTTTATGTATTTCAAATTTGTATTGATAATAAAAAGCAAAAGTAATCAAATATTCTTTGGACTATTTTATTCTAAATAAATAAATGTTGCATAATATAATCAACAAATACTTCAGCAGTGACAGTTAGTTAAACTGTTAAAAAAAACTAAATTATTTACAAACACCAGAAATAAGCATATTTTAAAGGTACAGTTGTGTTAAAGCAAGTAAACCTTATGTTTTAATTTTAAAAATATTAAATTAATTAATTCAAAGACATTGCCTGACTTGATTTGTTAAGTGGATAAAAATGAGTCATTACACAGAAACAGACTTTCTATTCTAGTTGCAACAAACCATGTATTATAAGTACCGGTATTGTAAAAACTTACATCAACAACAGTTTTAACAAATAGAATGATTACAGCATAAATCACATATTAATATCAATGTATGAATTTACACTAACAAACTTTTAACATATGACCAACATTTTAACTGAACAAGATATACAAAAAAAATCTATCAAGAAAATCTTTGTTTTCTGTCTTATAAATAAGTGATTGTTTTTAACATAAGCTTTATTTACATTAAAAAAAAGGTAAAAATAGTTTGATCCTACTATAAACACCAATACAAAACAAAACAATCATGTGACTAAGTGGGCTCGGTCACAACAAGTGACAAACCCCTGGGTGTGATATCGTAAAACTTCTCTACTCTTTACCTTGATTGTGCCAATTTGATCCTACTGTAAACACCAATACAAAACAAAATGATCATGTGACTGAGTGGGCTCGGTCACAACATGTGACAAACCCCTGGGTGTGATATCGTAAAACTTCTCTAATCTTTACCTTGATTGTGCCAATTTCGTCCCGTACGTACCGGCCACCAGTTCTACTAAGATCTGAAGAAATGAACTCAACCAGTGCCTGACCTAGTGTTTTACTCTCAGCCTCCTCTGTACTGACCGCTGTTTGGTCCAACGCACTGCTGCACTGGTGTGATGTAACTGCTGGTTTGTTGACGGGGAAAAGCACATGCGGCCAAACCTGGAGGAATAGTGTCGCTGCATGCTCCGGTCCGATGGCGATCACGCCTTCACATGCTGAACATTGTGTTTCAATGGCTGAGTCCACTGCAAAGGCACTTATAATTGGCTTGGTTTTAGAACTACCACAATCAGAATAGGCGTGGCTAATTTCATGACTTGAATTTTTGGCTTTACAGCATGGGACGCTAGCGTGGTCGCTGCAGTCTGATTTACAACAGCTGTCAGAGTCAGACTCAACAGTGCTAAGGTCAAGGCCTAGGTCAGGTGACTGAATATACGACATAAATTTAGATTTTTCTTCCATGGACTTGTTTCTGAAATACTCTTTGGCAACTTTAAAAGTTTCTAATTTCTCTATCTCATTCAGCAACTGTTTTATGATGCAGGCAACTTTTTCCTCGCCTTTCACTGCTTGTGGGCAGGGCACAACAAAAATGTCAGAGTCGCTTTGTTCATAGGGTAGCGTCAAGCTGAACATGCTGATGAACAAGTTCTCTCTACTCTGAATTTCTTGCATATTTTTTATTGCCAGTTCAATAATCTCTTTAGGACTTTGGAGCTTTCCTGATACAACACTAAGACGACTGCAAGGAGAAAAGTTTGGTGTAAATACATAATTTAGACAATTAGGTACAAAATAGTTGCCAGAAAAAACAAATATTTTACTCTTAAAAAACTTGAAGAAATCTAACAGATGCACATAAAAGTAATAAATGGGAGAAAAAAATGTTTTACTCATGAAATAAATGCCATCTTTGAAGTTAAAAAGGGAACACTTACAAAAATATTAAATGCTCTATGTTATGGAACGAAGTCATCAGTATGGTTAGTATTGATGTTGGTGATGACTGCAGTGAGAGGTTAAACAGTTGTGTGGCGAATTAGACACTGTATATTACTTGATTGTTGAAGAAGGCACCAACACAATTTCAGCTGAACAACTTTAATTAATAGATAATCAAACTACACTCTATATGGTCTAAGGAAAACAGAAATAGTTCATTAACAGCGGCCGGCCTTAGGGGCCACACTTTACAAGAACACAAAAACACGACTACATTCTAACCAGCCTAACGTTCAACTGTCCTATCTTTCTGGCCAAGCTTGACCCTGGGTTCCTTAACCCCTGCATGACCCCGGCATTCCAGCGAGGGGGAGGGACGGGCGCCTGCAAAATCCTAGGTGGGACTAATGCATTGTGTCCCAGTTCAGGGGGGGGGGAGGTGGGGGTGGGGAGGGCAGTACAAGCTGTCACAGTTCAGGTGTGGGGCAGGAGGGGGGTGGGGTAGATACCCACTAGCGGTGGGACGAGGGGGGTTGGACTCAGTTATAACACTCCCCTCTCCTTTGACAAGCTGGCACAAGCTGGCAAAGCCAGCGAGGCTTACACTCTACATACATGGTCTATCACATGCAACAAACTAATACACTAAGAGCAGTAATAACATAGGTAGGAAAGCAACACTTCGAACATCTTAGTACGATAAAAAATAATAAAGCTTCCTCAATAGGTGACACTACTGTGTCTAAACTCTAAACAATCAACAGCTAACAAAGTTCAATAATAAATGCTACTGAGTAATGCTAAATCTAAAGTAGTTTGTACAACATTATACAGTTCGTGTCTAGACTTTATCACTATAGCATATAAACTGAACTCTTCCATATCATCTATTTTAGTAATATTTTTTCTCTAAACTGTACGACAATATGTACCTAATGGGGAAAAAATGGTTATACATCTTAAATTTCAGCATAATTAATAAGGTTAAGTAATCATAAATATACCACAAGCAACACATTATTTCTCCTATATAATTAGATAAAACTTCTCAGGTTGGTAAAACTAAGTAATATGGCCACAATTATGATTAGTTTCTCTACAACATACAAAATATCTTAGAGGAATATTTTCCAACAAAACCCAAAAAATCAATAGACAAGATATACTCGGCAACACATCGATATACCATCATAAAAACCCATTAAAAGCATAGACTGCATCATCAGTCTCTAAACATCATCTCATTCTTGTCCTACTATCTATCTAGCGGAAACTCAACCGTCGCAAGCTTACCGTCAAGTAAGTGGAACGATTGACCGCTTCACACATCATCGTCCTATCTAGCTATCTAGCGGTAACTCAACCGTCACAAGCTTACCGTCATGTAAGTGGATCGATTGACGGCTTCAAAATTTCACAACATAAATAAACAATAACTCTAAGCTACAGGGTTCAATCATCACACGATTAAGAAAATAAATCCTCCAAGGATAGTGTATATTATAGGCATCTCGTTATTTAAACAGTGTGTCAACTGGTTAATAATAGAAAATTTTTTAACAAATCGGGTTATAAAAGTTATGATTGTTTTGAAAGGGGTCCTAACTTTATAATTGTTATATAAGCTTTTAACTGGCACATCGAATAAATAAAGACATTAATGATTTTAAAGTGCATGATTAAATGTAAACAATCTCTAGCACAACACAAAATTTAATCTAACAAAAAAAATTCAACAAACAATTCCTTATTGCTGACTTCTATGACTTCTAACAAATGCAGCTAATTGACCTAAACTAAAGAATTATAGACTTAACTGACTGCTGGACTTTGGCATACGACTGACAGAAGAGGAACAACGCTGTTTATTATTGTTACAACAAATTGGAGCTTAACATTTCTAAATCTAAATTCGTCGGCTTGGACATCTGGAACTGCTGTGGGATGACGTCGACACATGAACACTTCATTTTAACATCATTGGGGTAGGGTACTTCATTACTTCATATCGTCATTAGGGGTACACGAATACTCCATATCATCACGGGACATCAGGGGTGTAGGGATGTTTCACATCATCATGGGTGGAGGGGTACTTCATATCATAACAGTTCAGATGCCATTAGACTATAAACAATGACGATTTAGTCAGTAGTCACTGTACTCACACTAATCACTGTAACATACTTCAATGTTGTAAATATAAATTTTTCAATTCTAACAAGTCACCAAAGGCAATTAAAGTAGGTAGTCCAAGCTAATGAAAGTCCTAATTCATGTTATCTCAGAAATAGCTGCACAAAACTTGAAAATAGACTAATAGTGACAGTTCTGTCTCACGGACTTTGAAACAACAGTTCCAACATATGTAGATCAACGTAAAACTTGACAACGAGCTTGACGATAAACAGAGACGATGTGTGGCAGTGGCGTGACAAACAAAATAGTAGATCTGTACCTCTTCGAGAATCACCGAAGTTGAAAAAAAAATTCACAAAAGTTCTTTTACCCTGTTCCGACGTTCTTTAAAAGTCAGTTTGCTACTCAACCAAAAACGTTATGAATAATTTTAGCTGCTCTATCAAAATATTGTAAGTCGGTTCGCTGTTAGATAGTTTTGCTCCTTGATCCCAATGTTATGAATGTCCTTTTTGCTACTCCACCAAAAGGTAATAGGTCGTTTTGCTGCTCCACCAAATGTTATGGAACGAAGTCATCAGTATGGTTAGTATTGATGTTGGTGATGACTGCAGTGAGAGGTTAAACAGTTGTGTGGCGAATTAGACACTGTATATTACTTGATTGTTGAAGAAGGCACCAACACAATTTCAGCTGAACAACTTTAATTAATAGATAATCAAACTACACTCTATATGGTCTAAGGAAAACAGAAATAGTTCATTAACAGCGGCCGGCCTTAGGGGCCACACTTTACAAGAACACAAAAACACGACTACATTCTAACCAGCCTAACGTTCAACTGTCCTATCTTTCTGGCCAAGCTTGACCCTGGGTTCCTTAACCCCTGCATGACCCCGGCATTCCAGCGAGGGGGAGGGACGGGCGCCTGCAAAATCCTAGGTGGGACTAATGCATTGTGTCCCAGTTCAGGGGGGGGGGGGGAGGTGGGGGTGGGGAGGGCAGTACAAGCTGTCACAGTTCAGGTGTGGGGCAGGAGGGGGGTGGGGTAGATACCCACTAGCGGTGGGACGAGGGGGGTTGGACTCAGTTATAACACTCTAAAATAAAACATTGAATATGTTAAAATCTCAATGGTTTTAGTGATGAATCTAGCATAAAATACTTACTCCGTCCATTCTTGTGCGAAGTCAATTAACTGTGAACAGTACTTCCCCTTCTGCTTGTCAATGGTAAAGGCATATGAAGGGCGAAACAACAGGAGACTAGGCTGGTTGGTGGCACTTGACAGAATAATGTAGCCTCGAGATCTTCCTGCAAATGGGGTGGTCATTTCATTTTTATAATCCACAGAAATCTCACAATCTGACATAACCCACAGTAAGTAATCTCATAATATAGCAATTGTATTGAGTAAAATTACCAGTCTACTTCTCTAAATAATGTTGTTTAAATGAGGATAAATAAAAACTTCCAGATAGTTGTTAATCTCACCCATTCATGAGAACTAATGATCCAGACCCAATATAATTTAATAAAATGAAGTTTATTTATAATTTTGTATATTAATAAATATTAACTGCTTATATAAGAAAGTAAAAGACAAAGTTTAAGTACACTTTAGATGATATTTGAGACAGAGTTCATCTTGTTTCTCTGACTATGGTGAGGGGGGGGGGGGGGGAGAGAGAGAGAGGAAAGGACAATGTGATCAGCACTTTGTTCAGGTATTTAATATATACTTAAATAAGATACCCAGTGAACTATGGTTCTGAAGCCTGTCAACAGAACTCAAGACTTTTGGGTCAGTATTTGTACATTATAAGCAAAGGTTTACCAGTTTCTGGGTCAATTGTTTTCATGGCTTCCAGCAGTGTTGCTACAGATACCCAGTGAGGTGGGTACTTGAATCTTGCAGTGTCAAGAATGAGAACCAGATCTCTACCCTCATGATAGCTGGAAAAAAACAACATAATTAGTATAGGTAAGATGGCGTACACTTTGTAAGACATGTGAAAAGAGGTTGTTAACTTACACAAAAATATGCTGTCTGATTTTTATCAAAGTTGGTGTTGCATGTTTTAGTCATAGTGAACACAAATGAAGAGATCAGTTGTCTAAGTACACCACAATGTATAAAGTTTGGTGTGAAACTTTTTAGATTTACATGTGATATTTTTAACACAGCTACTTTAAAAAAAACATGCATCTCACCCTGCTATTGGGGAAAAGTGTCCTGTACTTTGGTGTTAAATTTTTTAGATGTACATGTGATATTGTTAACACAGCTACTTTAAAAAAAACATGCATCTCACCCTGCTATTGGGGAAAAGTGTCCTGTACCAGTCTGCCCTAGGGATTTTCTAGAGTATGATGCCACCAACACAACATCTTCTCTTACAGTTGCTGCTTTAATCTGTGGGTAGGGAGATTTATTTTTTCATGTACTAAATATACTCACATGGAACCATCATCCATTTGTTAATAAAACAGTTATGATAATGATCGGTTTTTCACAGATTAGCATATATCTGTTAATTAATTTGGAGTAGATTGTAAAAATAAGAAGTGTATTGCTAATGTAGTCTAAAGCGTGTACCATAGAAGAACAAGTCACGAGGCTTCATGTTCACTACTCTAACAATAACAAAAAATAAAATTAGATATGTAGATAAGTGACAAGGTTCACACACCTCCTCCCTGAGGTGTTCTATAGAGTTAATTTCTGATCCCAGCACAGACATCGCTGCAAGATTGTTACACCTAGCCAAGCAGACAAACTGTTCCATGTTGATGCCTTTTTCTCTAGCAACTTGCAGAGATGTACAACAATCCAACATATCTTCATGGTACCACCGCCAAGGCCCTATTACAAAAAAAATTTTTTTCAACACAGGTCTAACAATAAATAAAAATTATTAATACACTGAGAGGAAACAAATCCACTAACTTCCGCCTGAACTTTTTCTTAAGCTACATCTTGGTTATCAAATATTTAAAACTAACCTTTCCAGACTCTACCAGGGTCTATCTCTAAAACATTAAGAGCCATCACGAGTGATGTTAAGCCACAATATGCTGGTTCATCCTGAGTACGATACTGTGAGCATAGCTATAATTCAAGGAGAAAATGCAACATGTCATTAAAAAATGGATACGGTTTAATTTAAATACTAGACCATCATGATTTTGTTAAAAAAAAACAACAATCTTATACAGAAATGTTTTTAAACATTTATCACTCAATTAAAGCTTACTTTAAAAAATGAATTCATATATCCAGCAGCTAAAGCTTGTGAGAAGATTAATTTTCCTTCATCTGAAGCAAAGTCAATACAAGTTGTAGGCAATGGTCGCCTATAAAACTGCAGCGTTGGTGATTTGACAGGTGAAGATAGTGATCCTCCAAGACTTGAAGAACGAGCTGCCATTTTGAAAACGACAAGTCTTTTACCTGAACTGGCTGAAAAAAATTGATAAACTTAGTATAAAATATTTTAAGAAACAAAATTTAAAAAATAGGCCTATTGACTATTCATAGAGTAGAATAGTAAAGTAAAGACAAAATAATTAACATTAATGAGTCGATGAAATAAGGTTAATAAACTAAAGGGAGCTAACTGCATACCGCCTAACCTCTCCAAGGCCCTAGGCCCTAGGCTAGGCGAAGCAAATATTATATAGATCTATGTGCATTCAAAAGCATTGTTTGCGAATGACATTCAACTTTTTGACATTGTGATAACTATTCGTATTCAGGTGGTCAAAGTGTTTCCATAGATTTGGGCTCTGAGTAAAACTGAGTTGCTTTTTTAAATTTATTTTACCGTTTTTACGTAGTATAAATATATTATAAGCTCTTGAACTTTGGAAGGGTTAGGTAAGCTAAAGTAAGACTAAAGACTATTCTAGACGGCTAGATTTAGAAATCTAGATTTTAGTATTTTTATCATTTTATGATTTTTAATATTTTTACTTTAGTACATTAGGCCTACATGACGACTACAACACACCATATTTAATTTTATTATAGAATTATAATTATAATAGACTAATTAAATACCTACTAATTAATTATTAATTAGGCCCTATTACTTATTAGGCCTACTACTAATACTACTAGACTAGATCTATTACTATAACTATTCGGTAATCTATCGTTTTGGGTACGTAAAATCGCCGGCGGCTATTAATGTACGAAAACGTTACCTCATTGTCAAGGCTGTAATAGAAGTATATTGTGATATGTTTGTGTCAAATATTATAGATAAATGAATAATAAACCTAAATCAATGGCTAAATATATTAATATAGGCCAGAAATTAACTTTAAACAGCTGTGTCTGCAAGCAAGATTTGCTATATAAACAGCAGCCATTTGTAAAATAGAGTGACTTCCGCCTGAATCTCGCGCTATATGTCTATAAAAATAAAACTTTAACAAGATGGCTGCTATAGTAAATGAGCGTGGTTGCATCTGTTGGAAACATCGCTGGTGTTCATTTATTACTGAAAAGTTTTAATTCAATTGTTTAAAAACAGGTAGCCTACATAAATGAAACAAGGAAACATTTTTGTATTTTTCAAAACATAAATCCTCCTCAAAATGTGAAATAATTATTAAAATGTAAGGAGTCACCTGTTTTTCACATTACTAGTCGCGGCCGATTTTACGTACCTAAAACGATAGATTACCAACTATTAATAATTATAATTCTACTTTTACACTTTTTTACACTTTCACTTTAATTTACCTGTCCTCAGAAGAATAGATCTGAGAGATAGCATAATCAATCCAATAAAATTAAAAAGCAGAGAAATATTTTAATGAGTACGATAATTTAACATGTTTAACATGTTTACAGTTTACTCTTTCTAAAACTAAAAGGACTAAACTAAAGTCAGTGATGTAGAATAAGAATTTTGCCGAAGTTCATACACTACTAAAGTTTAGTCTAAATGTCGAAATAAAACATTTTTATTTAAAAGCCACTTTTTATTTACCGGGTATGGAACTTTTAACTAGTTTAGTAATTGATGTTTTGTTATTTATTTTTGCTATTTATCCTCTATCAATTGAGCGATCAATGATAATAAAGTAGATCTAGAGTCTTTTGAATTATTAACACATTTAATAAACACATTATTATAAAGAACAAATTTAATGCAGTGGGAAGGCGGGACTAAAAGACCAATGGCAAATTAACCTAAGTGCCCGACACTCACACTGGTCCACAGCAATAACTTGATCACTAAATTTAAATCTATTACTAAAATGCTTACCTAAGCATATATATATTACACTTAGAGGGTAAAAGAAAACTAATCACACGTTTCACTCACTACCAATATTGTTTTTGAAATTTTTAGGTGTTCATTAATGAAAGGGCATTGGGGTCGTCCATAAATGACGTCACATTCATAGGGGGGAGGCGGGGTCCGTAATTTTGTGACGGTGTATGATGAGGGGAGGGGGGGGGGGGGGTCAGATGGTCCGACGTCACACTTTTGCATTGTAAAAAAAAGCAATGTTAGAAAACGAATTTTAGACATTATTTTGCGTTTTAGAAAACTGTTTTAATAAATTGTAATAACAATTTGTCAAAATAGAGTATTTTAATCGAGTTCAGTCAGGATTTTGGAAAAATATACCTGTTTAAAAAAATTTCAACTGCAATTTTGAAGGGGGTTGTAGGCTGAGGTGCAGAGTTTCTTCCAGGCATCTCTTTGGGGGAGGGGGGGGGCTCCCCCAAAGAGAGTCTACCGCCCCCCCCCCCCCGGAACAAAATGAAAATTATATAGAAAATATATACTTTTCACAGTGTCCGCCCCCCGAAGAAAGTCTACCGCCCCCAAAAATTTTTAGGGGGGGGTGTCTGGCTTTTTTTGACGGGTGACGGAGGGGGGGGGAGGTAAAAATCGTCAAAAAAAGAGTGACATCATTTATGGATGACCCCATTATTAAAAATAGTCTTTCAAAACTCACAGAAAGTGAAAGTAATAGTCTGTTGGATTTTTGCTGAGATCATGAGGAGTTATATTCATTTCCACTAGATAGAGTGTCACCCGGTGTGATAGGCTATGGCGTCACCCCAACAGCCCATTGGGTGGGGCTTAAAGAATATTCAAGATATATATTTCACTACAACTAGAGTTACAAAGCTTTTTTTCTCCGTAAATTTGGTGTTTCCATGTGCAATCTGCAACCTGTCCCAGGATGTTACTGTTCATACTACAAAATCAGGGAATTTCAGCTAGCGAATGATGACATTAGCTGTTCATGTCATTATAAAACCGTTTAGTTAAACTTGGTGGCTTGATTGAACCATGAGGACTTAGCTATCAAGGCAGTGTTTCTTCCAGGCATCTCCTCGGGGGGGGGGGGGGGGCCTTGTCAGACTACTCTGTCACTGAGCAAAACTTCACAACCTCGACCAGAACATTATTTTTCATTTATAACTCAGGCAAATAATTGATTACATTGGTTTTACTTTTTCATGTTGTTGTGGGAATGTATGTATTGCACCTTGTTCAGTTGTAGGAGTATTGATTAAAAGTATCAAGTAGAACAACTTGGACAAAATTGTTTCTCTTAGCCCCACCCCCCTCCTATGTATCATAGTATACAAGCCAACCTGCTGCGTATCATATGCCGCTATTTAGTTGTTTTATTTTCTACTTTTCAGTAATTCCTAATTTGTGAATTCGACAGTACCACTGCTGTCACTGAAAATATTTGCTATAAAACACTATCAGTAAGTCGTTAAGGACGATAACCCCACCCCCTCCTTTCCCCCAACACCTAACCCCCCCTCCCCCGTGACCCAGTGAAAGCAGCCTTCTCTTAGCTACCTCTCCTAAGTTTAAAATCGTTTTAGCGTGAACCACAGCTCACCAGACTTCCTAGAGAGGAAGAGAGGGGACTGCAAGGCGCGCTTACAGCTTGTTTTCTAGGGTCTCCCAGAAGAGAATTATATATATAGATAAGGTCTACAAAAATATTTCCTTTTTTCATCATTTAATAAAGGTTATTTTAAAAATTAAATTATTCAAATGGGTAGAGATTAGAAATAGTGTGAAAGGTAGGGTGAAGTTTTTGAGTTGAAACTCCATTACTATCTTAGGCTGTAATTCTAATTCACTTTAGTAAAACTGAACACCTGAAGCAGTCTAGTTAAAAAACACAAGGCTGGTAGCTTTATGCACATTTATAAATTAACAGATATCTACTTTATTTAAATTAATCATATGCATTAATTCTATATAGGTCATTATGAAAATCAGCACACAAACCATAAAATGAATTTTTTTAAAGATAAATAAAATAAGACACATCTTTACAGGCATCTTAAAACATTTTATTAAGTAGTTTTTGGATAAAATGTAAAATACTTAAAAATAAATATTCTTGACATATTTTTAAAAAATGAACACTTTATAAAGTGTGGTTTACAATTAGTGTAATACAGAACACAAGGTAGTTGTAAGCATCTTGAGTAAAATACACCAACTACATAGATGTAGCTTGAAATAAAGCTAAATAATTTATACAACAAATATATTTTACTAGACTATATACACTGAGTTCTTTCTCAATATTTTAAAAATTTTGTTTTCAAAACAGAATTACTCAAAATAAAGTTTTACTAAAAGTACACTGTGGAGGCTTCATATATAGGTAGCTCTTGCTCTTTTAATATTAAAATAATTATTTGAATTTAATTACTCTGTTAAAATTTTTACTACTGTTAAATTATTTTAAAGGCTTATAAAAAAATTTACAAATACAATTTTCTAAAAAAAATTATATTTTGAGCTATTTATTACATTTTAAATTTTTTTTTTTAAAAGTATAAAACACAATGTAATTAAAAACGTGAAAAATTATGTAGCAGATACATTTAAATTTCAGTTATGCTGACAATATAATTTTAAACAGAGAATCCTGTTCCAATCAACAAATGTATATTAAACATTATATCATACCGGTATTACAATTTCCTGCTTGAATATAAAGTAAAGCAACCAAGTTACTGATTAGAACCTTGGTTTTGTTCTGACAAAACTGAAGTTGTAAATATCAGGTAGCCCAATATGAGATTGATTAGCAAAGATACCCGACCATGAGAAAGCTGGTAGATCATTGCCTAATGTTGGTCCATTTATAATATCTGCTTGAAGTCTCATTGCCATGCTGTAATCAGACACCTAATTTAGGCACAAAAAAAAAGAATAATTAGAAAAGTGGGGGTTCGGCGTGGTCGAGTCGGTAAAGCTCATGGTTGCTTAACCGAAAAGTCTCGAGTTCGAACCCTCGGACAGATGAGGCTCGTTAGCTGGGGACAGCCACTCTTCTAGGAGAGACAACTCCAAAATTAAACAACTGCTGCCTTGTAGTTTGTTCTTGGTTGGACAAAGGCTATGGAAGCAAATCCAAAAAGAAAAGCAGGCTAAAATCGGAGTCAATGGCCTCAATGGCGCATAACCAGTTGACACGTAACGCTTAATTGTGTTGGAGGCGTGGTCGAGTCGGCAAAAAGCTCATGGTTGACAAATTCGAACAAACTCTCGAGTTCAAACCCACTGGCAGATAAATCTCGATCCCCTTCAACACTAATAATTAAGAACGAAGAAGAAGAAGAGAAAAGTGATCATAATAAACAACAAGAATTATAAATTCTTATATTTATGAATGGGGCCACTAGCTAAATATAATTTTCAGGGACAAATGCAGTTTAAGCAGTTTGACTTTATACATAGGTATTCAAATTTTACTGAATGTTCAACAAAACTTACTTTTGTGTCATAACAACCTGATGCTCTAGGATTTTTTTTGTCTAAATCTCCTCTTGCACAAATAGCCCCTGTAGGTAAACCTCCACTATATGGATCATTTTTATAATCTGCAAATGCAAAAGTTATTAAAAAATTAAGACAATAATTAATAAAAGGTTTTAAAAAATTATTGTTTTCTGCTTACTAATTTAGAAATAATTGAACTGAAACTTAGTTCTAACAGAATTCTATAAAATTATAATGTAACATTTTAAAACCAAAAATATAGTAAGCACATTATTATTATTATGTTAATTTCTGTATTATTTGTATGAAATAAAAATGTATATTTATCACTGACCATTTTCTCGCATTATGTCTTTCATTGAGTTCAAGTCATTCACTTTGCCTTGGTCTCTGCGGAAAATCTTTGCCCTAGGTGCCAGGTCATAGCTGTAGTCTAAACCATGTTTATCAACATAATCTGGATAACCACTTGTGTCATAAATCTCTTCAAAGAATGGTATATTATAGGAAGGGAAGTATCCTAAAAAATGAAAAGAGTAAACGATATTGTCTTATAATGACTATTTTTGTTTCTTTTTATAGAAATTTTTGTAGGACAGCAAAATGTGAATTTTAAAACACAAAGAAATTAGACAAAAGTTGGACATGATAAGGGGTCATCCATTTATGAAGTCCACAAAAATTTGGGATTTTAGACCCCCCCCCCTCCCCTTGTGGACACAAATTTAGTAGACCTCTCAATACATGCTGCAAAATTATTAATTCATGTACATGCAATGTGTACATTAATTAATTATGTAATATAGGAATTTGATATTTTATTTTTTAAATTATCAAATTTAAGCATTTTGGGGTTTAGTTCCGCATGTGGACGTCCACAATGACCCGAAACCCCCACCCCCCGGGTGGACGTCATAAATGGATGACCCCTAAAGTCTAGATATAAATTTGTAGGTTATGAATACCAATGAATATTACAAAATTAAAATATAAATAGAAACAATACTAAATTGCAGACCAAATATATTTTAAAATGTATTTCTTTTACTCAAAGTTAACTTCTATTTTAAATTAAATCAATTTTTTTTTTCAAAAGCTGTGTTTGGAAAGCTCCACAAAAAAAAAAGTTTACCTGCTCTGAGTATGGGTGTGGCATCTTCTGCAACAACCAGACCAGGAATTTGTTCAACTACCCACAAGGTGTTGTCTAGTATTGGTTTCTTAGGTGTAAAGAGCTTCAAGTCAATTACCATATACTGATTATTGTAAGTGCCTGGGATAAAAGGAATATGTCAACAATTTAAAAAAAATAAACATTTAAAAATCAAACCATCAAAGCAAAGACGTTTTCTTATTACAATGTAAGCCTACTCAAATTATATTTTGAAATATGTATGAAATAATATATATATGTATATATATATATATATATATATATATATATATATATATATATATATATATATATATATATATATAAATGAATACAATTTTTCTTTTAAAAAAAACAACTTGGTTTATGTTTTTTGTTATTTATTTGTCTTTTTGTACCTGAATTGTATTTAGCAAAAATGTCACCCCACTGCTTGCCACTTTTAGCCATCATGTTGGCTATGCGCACACGTTGCCAAGCTAAAAGAGACTGGGGAGAAACATACTGATACAGGGAGGAGTTAAAGACGTTGATGGTTGTCTGGAGCATTACCATGCCACTTCCAAGGTGATAAAAATCATCAAGAGATTCCAAATATCCTGAAAGTATCACAAAGAAGAATTAATTCAGACTGCTTAATATGTCAAATTGTAGTATGGCTAACAGTTTTATAAAATAGATAACAATTAAAAAATGAAAAAGAATACTCCAAAATTCAAAAATTAAGAAGAATACTTTTAAAACTTAAAAAATATAAGAAAAGATATATCTTGGGTAGGCCTATATTAGAACTGTATAGACCAGGAGTTGGCAACCATTTTTGAAAGCATACCTGTACAAACTGGCTATTTAAAAAAGAATGGGAAAAAATGAGCCTAAAATACTTGTTACTGTTTTGCTTTAGCAGTTTTTAACCACTCAAAAAATAGCTTTCAATTCAGCTTCCCTAAACTTAATTATAAATACTGTGCAAAAATGGGGGAAAAAAATGTATTCAAGAAAGGTTGCCTCCCCTGATAAAAACAAAAATACCTGGGTAACTAGAAAATGAAACTCTCTTTGAAGCAGTATAGGAATCTGAGACATTAAAGTTGTAGTGTTTATAAATTCTGTTCGTTGCAGCATACACAAACCAGCTGGAGTGGGACATGAAAATATTCTCTATTCCTGGGAGAATCTAAATATCAAGTTGTTCAATCAATTCAACATTTAAAACAAACTACACAGATTTACTTCCCTAGAGTAAAAGAATGTTTAAATGGCATATCAATATATGTTACCTTAATAAGTACTGAACAATGACCAGAGTTGTAGAAATAGTCACTTGCTTCTTCTGGAGAAAACTGTCGCCAGTTAGGGATTGAGCTGGGATTCAAGACATTCCTTAGATCAAAAAAGTCGCCATTTGCATTTAAGAAGTTTAATGCAAACTTGTCCAGGGGAGGCTATAAAAATTAATACACCTATTAGTTGTATTCATAGTTGTATGGTATTTGAATAATCACTTAGTAGCCTCATAATGAAATTAACAGGCATTCCTTAAAAGAAATTATTTTAAAAAGCTCTTGTACTTACATTTTTTCCACTCACAGCCTTATAGCCATCATAAAGACCATCTAGTTGTGAAAAGATGTATCCAGCATGACGCCATAGAGGATCATTGCTATTCGTTTTTATCATATAATCTGCCCATTCTCTCTGCTTGAGGAACCACTGATTCAGTTTTTCTTTTAACTTCTCATCCACAGGATTTGGGAAAAACACTTCAAATGTGTTTGCAAAATGGTTCTCCATCTGTCTAATTTAACAAGAAAATAATATACTCAAAAATCCCTGGATACCTACTCTTAGTCTATCAAGCTTAAGTCATAGTAAAGTTAATCTTTACAAACTGATTTAGTGAAAAATTATACTAATGGTTAAAAATTTACCTAGCTGTTAAAGCACCTTCCAAAAACCCTGCAGCATACATGATGTCATCATTGGAGTGTTCTTCTGAAGGTGCATTACCGGCACTGATATCCAATATGCTCCATCCAGTTGTGAGAAGAGAATCATCAAATGTTCCAAATGAAGTGGCTTTTTCAATGTCCAGGACATCAGGCATAAAGTAACACATTGATCTTTCTTTACAGTAGACACTTCCATTTTTTAATGATCCTAAAAAGGAAATGATTTTGATGAATATTTTAAGAGTAGGTATGAAGTTTTATTGTTAGATATTAAAAAAATAAATATTAAATAGACCAAAAGTTTTCAGTTTTTATATTTTATTAATTTATTAGTTTTTAATTTCGAATTTTCAATTTAAAATGACAATTATTATTAGTTAGACGGTAATCTATCGTTTTGGGTACGTAAAATCGCCCGCGGCTATTAATGTACAAAAACGTTACCTCATTGTCATGGCTTTAATAGAAGTTTCTTGTCACAGGTTTGTGTCAAATATTATAGATAAATGAATAATAAACCTAAATAAATGGCTAAATATATCGATATAGGCCAGAAATTAACTTTAAACAGCAGTGTCTGAGAGCAAGATTTGCTACGTATATATACAGCAGCCATTTATAAAATAGAGTGGCTTCCCCCTGAATCTCGCGCTATAAGCTTATAAAAATAAAACAAACAAGATGGCTGCTATAGTAAATGAGCATGGTTGCATCTGTTGGAAACATCGCTAATCTTCATTTACTACGGAAAAGTTTTAATTCAATTGTTTAAAAACAGGTACATAAAAACAAGGAAACATGTTTGAGTTTGTATTTTAAAAAACATAAATCCTCCTCAAAATGTGAAATAATTATTAAAATTTAAGGAGTCACCTGTTATTCACATTACAAGTCGCGTGCGATTTTACTTACCTAAAACGATAGATTACCAGCAGTTAGAGTTAGAGTTCACTGTTAGTTTAGTGTTAGAGTGTAGTAGACTTACCACCGATTGTTCTTCTAAAATAGAACAAAAAACAGAATGTAAGTAGTATTGAATAATTCATTCCTTTCATCTTTCTTTTAGCATTAGATCTACAATCTAGATGAATCTAGTTGCAACTAAACAAGAATATAGGCTTGTGTGTCAAAGACTGTCAATCCTAACCATTTAACCAGAAGTTTGAATTCTTCATCAGGTCTGGATTTAACTGAGAGAAGATAAACAAATAAAAATCACATGTATCAATTCACGTGACCTACGCATGACATCTAAAATTAGACTAAACAAGTTCATCTGTCCAAGATTTACCCGATTTTGGCCTACTTTTGGGGGTCCATTCGATGCAATTTAAAGCCCATTTTTATTACCGCCATACGTATTTGTTTATGTAGGCTATAGATAATAAGGTTACGTATCTACTTCGCATTTCTTGACCCACTCCCATCTCCCGCGTAAGGTACATCATATTTTACTACAATTTTATGGACGCCCCTTCCCTCCCCTATTCTCAAGAAACAGATGAGCTTTACTTCAACTGTCTATTGGAGCATCCGGTCCAAAGGGGTAACTTTTTAGCGCAATTTCCATACTGGCAATTGCGTTTATTTATAGTGTAGTTACCCTCACAAGTTAAAGACAGTTACAAATTACTACTGACAGCTAAGTCCAAATTTGTGTTACTGTTTATCTTTTCTGTCTAGTCTGTAACCACACTGTTGTGTGCTGACGAAGACAGACCTTGGGTCGAAACGTCCATAGTATTTGTAACTGTCTTTAATTAACTTGTGAGGTAACTAACACTATCTGTTTAATTACTAACTCCTGTAGGTGGAATCTTGAGATCGATTAATTACCCTCCTTTACCTAACCGGTCTAATTGTTGCAAAATCAAAACGTAGATAAGGCATATGACAAAGCAATATTCATTAAGTTTGACATAATTAGATAAAGATTGCTATGTGGCGTTCAACGAGTTGCGCGTATAGTGACACAGTTACCGTCCTTTGTACTGACGAATCATGGATTTATACTTCACCAACTGGGGTCATTCATAAATGACGCTTTTTTGACGCTTTTTACACCCCCCTCTCCGTCACACATCGTCACAGAAAGGCAGACCCCCCCCCCCCCCCCCTCTTAAAATGACGTTACACCTCAGCCTTCAACCAACGCCATCCGCCTTAAAATTGTAGTTAAGTTTTTTTTTTTTAACATGGATTTATTTATTTCTAAAATATTTACTGAGCTCGGTTAACATAGAGTATTTTAATAAATTTCTTTAACGATTAGAAAAAGCAAATACAGTTTCTAACCTTACCTTTTTTTTAAAGAAACAGTGTGACGACGCATTATCTGACACCCCCCCCCCCCTCCCCCTTTCCCCCTCATCACAGAACGTACACACAAGTTAATTAGGCCTGTATAACGAGACAATCCGACGTTTTCGAACCACCTTAACTTTTAACACAACAGTTTATAACATTTCTTTAGACCCTTACACCTTATAATTATAATATAATAATAATGTTTTATATATTTAAATCATTGGTTGGAATGACATGTACTGCGCAGCATACATAGGTCTTTTAAAACCACCAATAAATCAAAGACAGTAAAAAGTAAGCACGTTTGAAATTAATATTTTATAATATTTTATAATTAAAATCACACACACAAAATAAATAACACGTCCTAAAAAAATCAACTTAAAACAGAAACTGGGATGCCATATAGTGGTATTTTAAAGTTGGAAGTTGGGTACTATCTACTGTGGTCTTAATACAATAACAAAGTGGTATTACAAAATAGGGTACTATATACAGTGGTCTTACTGTCTTAGTACAGTATCGAAGTGGTATTACAAAGTTGGGTACTCTCTACTGTGGTCTTAATGCAATAATGCAATAACAAAGTGGTATTACAAAATAGGGTACTATATACAGTGGTCTTACTGTCTTAGTACAGTATCGAAGTGGTATTACAAAGTTGGGTACTATCTACTGTTGTATTAATGCAGTAACGAAGTGGTATTCCAAAGTTGGGTACTCTCTACTGTGGTCTTAATGCAGTAACGCAGTGGTATCACAAAGCTGGGAACACGCCCTACTCCATCTATAACCAAACTTTCGTCCATGAGATGCGCAGTAGCAAAGGCGTTTCCGTCTGGTGACGTTTCAATGACGCCCTGAAAGGTAATGTGCTGAATACCATTTTCATCCACAACATCCCAACCTGAATGATCATGGCCAGAGAACACGCCCACCACACAGTTATATTTAGAGATGGTGTGTAATATTTCTTCATAGTTCCAGGTCAGGCAGATCCCATCCTTACTCAGTAGTGGGACATGGGCTGGAGAAAGAGATTTAACATAGACAATGAAATAATATCATGAAGGGGAATATAATGTTATACTTATATAGTGCCAATTACTTTGATACATGTTATTTGGTGTTGAAAACACTAATGGTGGACAAAGCTAATAAGTGACATTCATATTGTCAATTTATCTTTACAATAATTATTTGTAGCGTACTTTAGAATAAAGCTTGCGCGTGAACACATACACATACGCGCATGCGCGCAAACTCACGCATACACACTATTAAAAAAGCTTTCAAAGTCCTTCATAAGAATAATTAGAAACTTGCCTGAGTTAATTAACTGCTGAAGTAGTCGTATGGCTAACATTGATGACGCATTTACGATAAATATAGAGGCCCTCTAGTACAGAGGCGTAGCAAGGGGGGGGCGGGGTGCGGACCGCACCGGGTGACACCATTTAGGGGGGTGACACCAAGGCAAAAAATAGCAAAACATATAGAGAAAAATGATAATTCCACTTAATTAAGTGATTAATTCGAGTGTTAAATAGTCTTTTAAGAGGTGCAAATCGAAAGTTTTTGAGGGGGGGGGGGGGGTGCAAATCGAAAGTTTGAGGAGGGGGTGCAAATCGAAAATTGAAAGTTTGTCCCCGGAAAGGTTCGCTACGCCTCTGGGGGGTGACACCATTAAGTGCCGCACCGGGTGACACCCGACCTCGCTACGCCACTGCTCTAGTATTAGAGAAAATACATACACTAAGAGACTAACTTACTAATAATTATGACATTTTCTTCATTCTCCTGAGCGGCTTGGAGAGTTTCAGACATCCATTCCAATTGTTTTTCACTGACTCCGCCATTGTAAGCTGCCCAGCGCTTATTCAATCCTTCTAAACCTGATGTGTCATTCCAATCCTTGTTTGGGTTATTTTGCTGGAGCAACTGTTGCCCGGTTCTAAAATTGTCATCATTTGACTTGTCATCGTATCCTAGCACGCTTAGTTCATAAGCATCAACAGCAACTATCCGCAATTTCGGATGGGGTAAACGTGTGTAATACAACCGGTTCTGTTCACTTTCAATATTTAAGTTAAATAAGTTATTTAATAATGATTTAATTAAGAATAATCTACTGAAGCAGTACAAATCATGATTACCAATGACATGAAAGATAGGGGCCTTTAAATTATTCAATATTTCCATTACCATAAGAAATGCCTCGTCGCTGCCATTATTTTGAAACGTGCTATGTCTATCAATAAGGTCCCCTAACTGAATAACAAATGCTACAGGATCTTCCATACTTTTCCATTTTTCGATTGCATTTCTGGCAAGTTTGAGAGAACTTCTGTAATACCGCGTCTTAGTGTTTGAAAAATCTGGGCCATCATTGTGATCAGCATATTGAATATCAGCTATAATACCAAATGTTAACTGAGACTTGTCTTTATTTGTGCTCAGTGCCATTGGCTGTCAAAATTGTTCCTCTAAAATAAAAATAAAATAAAGTTTACTAAACACGCTGTATTTATAAAATTAGTAATTTAAATTAAATACATGAGATATTAAACTTACTTGATTGGATGTTTGATTTTTATAACACACACACGACACAACACACCGCAACTAAGACTTTGGGTGAACACCCTAACACATTCAGGCCTACTTAGCTAATATTATCATTTCATTCATACACGTGGAGAGTTAGCTACCTTGATTTGGCTTTCAAAGGCAGTATCTTAATTAAACATCGTAGGCCAGCAATTTTCAGAACATGGGTCAACATTGCACAGGAAATCATACTAGATCTAGAACGACTTAGTTATTAGGTTTCGAGTGACCCCCCCCCCACACACACACACATCCGGCTCCCTCTGAGTAACATACCTGGAATAACATTGTAGGAGTTTGTGTGGAAATTTCATAGCTCGTCATCTTAAGGTTTGTGTATGTGTGTGTGTGTGGGGGGGGGGCGGCGTAGCGAGGGAGGGACACGTGTCCCCGGGCGCCGACCTTAGGGGCGCAAAAATGGGTTAATGGGTTGGAAAAATAAATTGAAAGGTTGAGGGGGGGGGGGGGGAGGTGGAAATCGAAAGTTTGAGGGGGGGGGGCTACGCCTCTGAGGGGGGGGGGGGGGTGGCTTAGCTTTTACTTATGACGAACACTTACGTGACGTTAAAATTAAAATGGGGAAGGGGGACAAGGGGGTAAGGTTGATGACCCGATAAACTCCCCACGAGTTTATCACGAACACTGTTAAAAGTATATATTTTCTATATAAATTCCATTTCGTCAGAGCCCCCCCCCCCCCCCCCCCACGAAGAAATGTCTGGAAGAAACCCTGGGAGCAAGTGTGTTGGAATTTGCCACTTTTTAAAAAATGTAATTATTTATAATAGAATGCTTATTGTATGCCTATATTAGGTCTAGATCTAGGTCTAGAAAAAAATGTTTGCCACACATAGTTTTGCGTTTTAAAGAATTAAAAAGAATTTTTAAATAAATCATCCACAGTAGGCCTAATCTAATATGTTATATGAATGTAATTATAATATCTAGATTCTAGATTAAGTCTAATTCAGATATTCTTGTTTAAAATTAGCATCTTCCGCAATAAAAATAAAACCATAGGCCTATATAATTAATTTAAGCTAGAAGTTCATATGATTAAACATTTTTATATATTTCTTTTTCTAAATAAAAAAAAAATTCAAAAATTAAACGGACGTAAAAACAAGTTAATTAAAAAAGTCTAGTGACATTTATGCGCAATTTCCTTATGTTATCTAAAAATAGCTCTGACGTATAATGCTGGGATGCGTTCAAGCTAGAAGAACAATCGGTTTGTAGGTGTTTTTGTAATTTTAAAATTTGTGACCAAACGAGAGGATATTTTTGAAAACTTTCTTCGGCAATATTGCTCTAAATTATAGCAGGAATCGATTGGTACATGTTTCAAGTCGCTAAGTGGTCTGGTTGACGAGATATGGGCCAAAAACTGCTTTTTTTCGAGGTTTTTTGGCTTTTCCGGGAAATACATGAAAGAAACCCGGAATTTTTATGGCCTATGCTCATTCTTGTAACTTGCTTAACATAATTGCTTTTGGAACTAGTCATCGATATTGCTTCGTTGAGGAGGAGATACGACTTAAAGCCCGGACACACATTCATCCATACATTCATCCATCCATCCATCCATCCAGAAATGACGCGTTAATAAACGCAATTCTCCAGAATGGAAATTGCGCTAAAAAATGTTGGCCAAATAAATATATAAACAAAGACAGCAGCAGAGGTATGTGGAAGAAAAAAAATAGCCCATTAGCTTATTGGGATTTGAACCTGCGCATTATCAAGATGTTATGATCGGTTTGGATACCGTGGCGCCAGGTATATTCACACAGCTAATGAGCCACCCATGGAAAGCGCAAAATAAAATAAATATAGCTACCAGCTAGACCTAAATCTAGAAATCTAGATCTAGTCATAATATTCCAGACACATTTATTTACCCTTTGCAACACCGATAACTCTAACGAACATTTACAAATGTAGACTTTTAGCTTAGGAGGCTAGATAGACTAGATCTAGATCGTCTAGTTGGTTTTATTTTGAAGTGATGTGACAAATTAAATTAAAGCATTGCTAGATCTAGAATCTAGATCTAAGATCTATAAGCCGGACATAAGGACAAGGCCCTTCTAAGTTTCTTTCTACTACTTTCTAGATTTAGATAGATCTATTGATCTATAGTCTATATCTAGATCTAGAAGTAGAAGATCTAGTTGAAGTTGTCTAGCTAGATTCTAGACCGGTCTAGACGAGTCTCATAAAATACTAGATCTAGATGTAGATCTATAATAAATTATAGGCCTAGACTCTATAATAATTAAAAAATTCTAGATCTAGAATCAACATCAACTCACAGCTGGAATCTTGGTGTATGAATGATGTAATGTAGGCCTATGCATCATTGTCAAAAATATTAGGGCCTAGTTACTACTAGTTAGTAACTAGTTAGTATCGGCTTATTAATTATCTTATGGCGACTTATGCCTACAGAGGCGTAGCTAAGGGAGGGCTGCCGCCCCGGGCGCCGACCCTAGGGGGGCGCCAAAAGGGGTAGAAAAAAATTAAAAGCTCATTTTAAGCTGCAGTTTTGAATTATTAACAGTCAAAGTAAAGAAATTTAACGGCTGAGAGCCTTTGCATACTGATTTAACTGTTTTCTACCTTTAAGAAACAGTGACCGGAAACCCCGCTTTTTTTCCAGGACTGTCGCACACACAAAAACACACGCATATATATATATATATATATATAAATAAAGACAAGTCTCAGTTAACATTTGGTATTATAGCTGATATTCAATATGCTGATCACGATGATGGCCCAGATTTTTCAAACACTAAGACGCGGTATTACAGAAGTTCTCTCAAACTTGCCAGAAATGCAATCGAAAAATGGAAAAGTATGGAAGATCCTGTAGCATTTGTTATTCAGTTAGGGGAAACCCCGCTTTTTTTCCAGGACTGTCGCACACACAAAAACACACGCATATATATATATATATATATATATATATATATCATATACATAGGCCTATATATATATATTGGCGTGGGGGGCGCCAAACTGAAAGTTCGCCCCGGGCGCCGGGAGGGGTCGCTACGCCTCTGTATGCCTATGGCATAGCCAATAATAGGCCAAGGGCATACTCATACTCATAGATGATTGAGCCCTATACTATAGGGCCTAGAGTCTATATTTTATTATATAAATAAATATGGGCCATTTTCTAGGCCTATTGATTATAATCTACCTACTCAGACTCAATAGGTTGAGTGAGTTTGAGTAGGCCTAACTAAATATTTTAAATTCACTAAATTGGCCTAATTTAAAATTTAACTAAAATTATTGGTCTATGTAATAGGCCAATAATTTTAGTTATAGGCTATAAGTAATTACTATTAGATTAGGCCTACAGTTCATTACTTAGGCCCTATTATTAATAATTATTAGGCTAGCATTAATATACTATTCTATTACAGTTTATAGGCCTAATATATAATATTTACTATTTAGGCTAGATCTAGTATTTAGTAGCCTATTTATTTACTAATATTATTATTTAGTTTAGGCTTAGTACTGGTACTTAGTAGTAGTACATAGTACATACTAAATAGGCCCCCTGGTGATACCAGTACCCCACAGTTTTAATCTAAATTTAGGATACTATCAATAATCTTTCGACATATTAACTAATATTATAAATCTAAATAACTCTATGTAATGTATCAATGTATTTGCATATGTTCTTTCAACAGTAAATATGCGTGTAAGAAGAATGCACCCTAAACGATACCTCAAGTGTATCTGTTGTATCTTCATTGTTTTTATGTTTTGGACAGTTTTAAGCTATCTTGTAAGTTTTATACTGTGATTATTTTAATATCATTTTCTTTACTTTATAAATAAATATTTGATTCATATAAGAAACTGTGTAGGATAATATTGGCTGTGTATAATATCGAAGGTTTTTTCCTGCAATATTTTTGTGAGATTACATGGTTAGGATTAGAGGGTGCGGGATAGAAAGGCAATTTGTGGTACGATGAGAGTATCATCTATAACAGTAAACATGTTAATGTGACTTGTGCCAGAAAAGTGTGTAAACATTAAAATATTATTAGTCTACAATTAGTTGCAACATTGACTGGCATTTTAGCTGTTTACAGATTTTAATGTAATATGAAAGTATTAAATATCTATTGAGTCTCTGTAAGACAGAAAATATGTTCTCTAAATAAAATAAGATTGCTAGCTTAGGACTGTAACTGTGTTGTGTTATTTATGTTAAGGTGGTCTTTATAACCACAGTATTTATTGATGTTTTTTTTTTCAGTTTTCATTTAAAAATGAAGATTTCCCAGATGATGTTGTGTATGACATTTTTATAGATGAAACCAAAGAAGACCGTAAGTAATTAGTTTAAGCGACCATACATCTGAATTTAAACTTAGATTTATCTAAAAGATTTTTTGAAGTGCTAGTTAAACATGGTGTAAGGCAGTAAAGAGCAGTACGTATTCATGATCGCTTATCTAGGGTTTGTTCACCACCGTCACTTTTTTCCCCATGCATACATTATAAAAATACAATTGTTAAAGCAATATAATATAGCCTTTGATATCACTATATCTTTCAACTTTCCTAAAAAAAAATGATTTGTTCTTATTTTAGACCAACACATTCCGCTTAATGTAGAAATTCTTGAAGAGCTGCAGAGGACCAAAAACAGAAAGAAATATGACAAATCTGCTTTAGAAGATCCTAGTGATCCAGTTATTCTGTGGTGGACAGAGTTCACAGGTGAACCTGGTCAGTCCAAGTTGTGTGGTCAAAGGCGTTGTTTCTTTACTAACAATCGCAAGTACAGCACTCATAAAAACATGAGGGTAAATAATATTTAATATTTTATTGATTCATTGCAAACTAAATCTTTTTTTTTTCATAAATTGATGTTTTTGTAATCAGTTACTACCTTGTTAGTGCAGTTGATAAAATAGGTTGAGAGGGCTCACCAATCTTATCACCTAATAATTAAGACTTGCTAATTAACCCTTGTACATGGAATCATCCAAGTGTTATCTAGAACACCACTTAATTATATCTTCTCAGAGCAACAGTATAGACAAGTAACAAAAACATCTTTTTTTAAATTAAAAAAAAAATACTGCTTTTAAAAAGATTTAACTACCTTTATCCCAATAGGAAGAAAGTTCACCTTTTAATTCCATGTCTAGATACTCATCCAATCATTTGATAAAACATTTGCTTTAGTATATTTTTATCACTTTACCAAAAATTATAGAATAACAAATGGTTGGATTTTAGTTCAGAGCTATATTTTAGAACAGTTAAACCTTTGAATACTTATAGCTATAATAAAAAGTTTTTTGTTAAAAAAAATGTGTAAAAAACTATTGCTAGTCCTACTAAAAAATTGTTTATCGTGCTTATATAAATATATTTTCTGTTCTAGGCTTATCTCTTTTATGGAACAGACTTCAGTATAAAAGATTTACCTTTACCAAGGTCACATGACCACCTGTGGGCACTGTTCCATGAAGAATCACCTAAAAATAACTACTTGCTGTGTCATGAAGATAGCCTATCATTATTTAATTATACAAGTACATTTAGGTAATTAATATTTTTAATTTAAATAAAAGTGTTTTTAAAAATATTATTCCCTTAAAAATTAACGTGTTGATAAAAATATGTTTAACAAAAAATTTATTTATCTAGCTTTTGTGTATTTTTTTTTTAAAAACCTTTGGTATTAGTTTTTTTTTTTAAATTACAATTTTTCTTTGTAAGCCAAGTCTGACAAAATGTCTTTCCGAGTGTTAAAAAGCATCTATATTACTTTTTTAAAAACTATTTAAAATTTCTTATGAGGCTGCTTTTATTTTCCTCAAGGTTATTTTCTTTTGAACAGGAGAGAGTCAGATTTTCCCATTTCCACTCAGCATTTACCCTCGTTGTCTTGGTTACAACAGAAAACATACTTGAAAAATATCTCTCAGAAAAATAGGTAAGTCTAGTTTTATGCTCAGTTTTTCAAGGTGAATTTTGTCTAATTCTCTTTATTAGCCCAAGGAGTCCAAGTATATATAAATACTACATCATCTGCACTAAAGCACAAAAATTACATAAAAATCAACAAGATGAACTTTAAAAACATAAACCTCTTCTTTCAAATACTAAGTTTTTCTTGTGGGATCATATATTATATTTTATACTTTTTTAAAAATATTTAAAAATAATTTTATCCATTGAAAGATCAGTTCCATTAAATCTCTAAGGATTCTTAGAAAGCATGCAATTCTATACTCAATTTGTTTGTTGTTACTCTCTGCCTTGGTCAAGAGCCAGATCTTGTGATGGTAATTTGAAAGATCATAGATCTATAAAATAATGTGATGTGTTTTTGTAGCTACCAAGAAGAAGAGGGACAAGCAGATCTATAAAATAATGTGATGTGTTTTTGTAGCTACCAAGTAGAAGAGGGACTAGCAGACCAATAAAATAATGTGATCTGTTTTTGTAGCTACCAAGAAGAAGAGGGACTAGCACCTGTGATTTACGTCCAGTCTGACTGTGACCCACCATCTGACCGCGATGAATTTGTCAAGCTGTTGATGAACTATGTACCAGTGGATTCCTATGGAGGTTGTCTAAACAACAGACAGATACCAAAACAGTGAGAAGTTGTTTTTGAATTAATAATAGAAAACATGGAATTTTTTTGGAAACAAATAGGATAAAATTTGGAAAAATTAATTAAGCTGAAGCTGTGTTTAAACTTTTTAGATAACTTTTTGCTTTTAAGTTAATTAATATAAATTAAAATCCTTAAATGGTTTTGAATAATAATTATAATTAAAGCTTATATTATACCCAAGTATCTATTGATGCAAACATTTTCTAATGCTGTAAAACTGTCATTTCAGCTTAAGTCAACCTATAGAGGGTATGTCCCACAAAGACTTTTATGAGTTGATTTCTCGCTACAAGTTTGCCCTGTCCATGGAGAATGCTGTGTGTGAGGACTACATGACAGAGAAGTTGTGGCGCCCTCTCATGGTGGGAACTGTCCCAATTGTGTTTGGTTCCTCTAGAGTTAAAGTAAGTTGTGGCGCCCTCTCATGGTGGGAACTGTCCCAATTGTGTTTGGTTCCTCTAGAGTTAAAGTAAGTTGTGGCGCCCTCTCATGGTGGGAACTGTCCCAATTGTGTTTGGTTCCTCTAGAGTTAAAGTAAGTTGTGGCGCCCTCTCATGGTGGGAACTGTCCCAATTGTGTTTGGTTCCTCTAGAGTTAAAGTAAGTTGTGGCGCCCTCTCATGGTGGGAACTGTCCCAATTGTGTTTGGTTCCTCTAGAGTTAAAGTAAGTTGTGGCGCCCTCTCATGGTGGGAACTGTCCCAATTGTGTTTGGTTCCTCTAGAGTTAAAGTAAGTTGTGGCGCCCTCTCATGGTGGGAACTGTCCCAATTGTGTTTGGTTCCTCTAGAGTTAAAGTAAGTTGTGGCGCCCTCTCATGGTGGGAACTGTCCCAATTGTGTTTGGTTCCTCTAGAGTTAAAGTAAGTTGTGGCGCCCTCTCATGGTGGGAACTGCCCCAATTGTGTTTGGTTCCTCTAGAGTTAAAGTAAGTTGTGGCGCCCTCTCATGGTGGGAACTGTCCCAATTGTATTTGGTTCCTCTAGAGTTAAAGTAAGTTAAGCATTGCCTCATGATGGGAACTGTATGATATTTCTATTTCTGTCACAAATGCTTTTCACCACACCCTTTTAGAGTTAAAATGGGAAAAATGTAAGATATAGTTTTGGCTACACAATCTCATCAACAGAGGTCATAAAAACTTGATTTCTATTTCATCTGCACCATAGACTGATTAGTCATATATCGTACTATACATTTCACTCAAAGAATTTACATTCTGTTTTATTAAAAATTTTTCTTCAAATTAATGATCAGAAAACTTAAAGAATTGATAAATTATTGATTTCTTTTTAGCTGGAAATATTTTGTGAAGTATCTTTACATATTAGCAACATAGTTGACATAAATTCAAATATTTCTGATTTAGTTTGCTGTAAAGTTAAAGTTTGCTTTAAAAATGTTAAGAAATATGGATGTTTTTGTTGAGATGTAAAAATGTTTTCCCCTAATAACAGTTTTGTTTCTTATTACCAGGACTTCCTGCCCAGTAAAAAATCTGCTTTAGTGTTAACAGATTACAAATCTGCTGAACAAGTTGGAGCAGTTTTACAGTACTTGAACAAAAATGACGCAGTCTATGAAGAATACCGTCAGTGGAAGAACACGGGTATATCCAACCCGTTTCTTCAGGATGTTATGACAAAGCGTACCTGGACACCAGATATGGAAGGACATCGGGCTCCAGATCATAAAAATTTTATAGAATCATACGAATGTTTTATATGTGATAGCGTACACCAAAACATGGATGTTGTTTCTGAAGGGCAGATATTGAAGCCAAAGTGGGCGAATTCAAGCCATTATGGCTGTCAAAAACCCATGAAGTTTGATTCAGTGGGCAGGTATAACAAAGATGGCGGCTGGTTAGATTTTTGGGGCACACAGTGGGAGAGGAAAGGTCAAGTGTCCAGCGCTCTGCGGAGGTGTGTTGAGGAGGGTAGAAAATATTGCGGAGATATTGAAACTAATGAGCCTGTGAAGAGAGACTTTAAATGATTTTTGGAGGTGTTTTGAAGAGGGTAGGAAATATTGTGGAGATATTGAAACTAATGAGCCTGTGAAGAGAGACTTGAAATGATTTTTGGAGGTGTGTTGAAGAGGGTAGGGAATATTGTGGAGATATTGAAACTAATGAGCCTGTGAAAAGAGACTTTAAATGATTTTTGGAGGTGTTTTGAAGAGGGTAGGAAATATTGTGGAGACATTGAAACTAATGAGCCTGTGAAGAGAGACTTTAAATGATTTTTTTATTTCTTAGTCTAGTGATTATATGATTCCATTAAATTAGACCTGACTACTTTACAACAGATCTTTTTTTAAAATGTATTTTACATTATTTTGTTATAGTTTTACATTCATCTTCCTGCTATTCTGTTTGTATTTCTTTAGTACATTTGTAAAACTTATCTGGCTAGCCTACAGCTGTTGATGTTTAACTTGTGTAGACAAACAAATGTTTAACTTGTGTAGATAAACAAATGTTTAACTTGTGTAGATAAACAAATGTTTAACTTGTGTAGATAAACAAATGTTTAACTTGTGTAGACAAACAAATGTTTAGCTGTGTGCATGTTTCTTATTTAGTGTTGTTACAAAATAGAAATATACTTTTCTGTACAAAGAAACTCTTGTTTGTAATTTCCTCAGAAGTATATTATTAGATTTAATTTTTGTCTTATTTGATGAAGTACATATTTTTATACTTATGTGAATGTCTTGTGTAGAGATATAATGTGGTTGGCAGAGTCAAATGTATAGAAACTTGTTGATTTTTTTGGTTCAGATAGTTGACGTAGTTTCATTATAGGATTTCAAGTCTTTCAGATACTATTGTTGATGTAATTAAATACTTATGTATAGAAACTTGTCAATATTTGAATGATAGACCATGTGCAATAATGGTATTAAATTTATTTGTGATATTTATGTTTTGTTTCCAATGCCTACTTGCATAAGAGATTAAATTCTTGAAGAATTCATCAATTTTCTGATGCTTTATGTTTTGTTTCCAATGCCTACTTGCATAAGAGATTAAATTCTTGAAGAATTCATCAATTTTCTGATGTTTTTAGTTTTGTTTCCAAAGTTACTTGTATAAGAGAATAAATTCCGGAAGAATTCATCAATTTTCTAATGTTTTAATTCCAAAACTTTTCCCAGCCTACTTGTTACTGTCATAGCTATTTGACATTGTAACATATCATCTTACATATATGAGTACAGGCGGTCACGTTTTGTAATAAAATTACTACTTGTTTAGGACAGTGTGTACATTGTTTATCTAATGCTTTATTTAAGTCAGGAAGAGTGGTGTTGCTTAGAAGTAAGAACTTTGGCATTTTTTTTTATCAAGGCTCTCATTAGTTAAACATCCCATTTATTAAACCTCTAATTAGTCAAACATCCCATTTGTTAAACATCTCATTAGTCAAACATCCTATTTGTTAACCTCTCATTAGTCAAACATCCTATTTGTTAAACCTCTAATTAGTCAAATATCCTATTTGTTAAACCTCTCATTAGTCAAACCTCTCATTAGTCAAACATCTCATTAGTCAAACATCTCATTAGTCAAACATCTCATTAGTCAAACCTCTCATTAGTCAAACATCTCATTAGTCAAACATCCTATGTGTTAAACCTCTAATTAGTCAAACATCCTATTTGTTAAAACTCTAATTAGTCAAATATCCTATTTGTTAAACCTCTAATTAGTCAAACATCCTATTTGTCAAACCTCTAATTAGTCAAACATCCTATTTGTTAAACCTCTAATTAGTCAAACATCCTATTTGTTAAACCTCTAATTAGTCAAACATCCTATTTGTTAAACCTCTAATTAGTCAAACTTCCTATTTGTTAAACCTTTAATTAGTCAAACATCCTATTTGTTAAACCTCTAATTAGTCAAACATCCTATTTGTTAAACCTCTAATTAGTCAAACATCCTAATTGTTAAACCTCTTATTAGTCAAACATCCTAATTGTTAAACCTCTCATTAGTCAAACATCCTATTTGTTAAACCTCTCATTAGTCAAACATCCTAATTGTTAAACCTCTAATTAGTCAAACATCTTATTTGTTAACCTCTCATTAGTCAAACATCCTATTTGTTAAACCTCTCATTAAGCAACTTCTCATATCTCATCAGTTAAACTTCTCGTTAGTTAAACCTCTCATTAGCTAAACCTCATTAATCAACCTCTCATTAGTCAATACCCCCAATATCTCATTAGTTGACACCTATTAGTCAACCTTTCATTAATCAACCATTAGTCAAACCTCATTACTCAAGCGCATATACTTACATAACTAAATTATTATAATTTTCTCGTTTTATTATGGTATCTTAGTATTAGTAATGATCCTAAAGATAAATAAACTAAGCAGTAAAGAGAGTCAATAAGCGCATGATATGATTTGGCATAGATCTAGATCTAGGGAAGAAGAAAAACTACTGAAAACAAGTTGGCCTATAAAGGAACAATTTATTTTAGATTTTTTTTAAGATTCATCAAAATTTTAAAAAATATATTAATACTTTTATTATAGGCCTTTATGTATAGGCCTATTCTATTAAATTATTTTCTTTTCTTCTTTTTAGTGCATTTATACCATTTTGTTATCGTAAAACTTCATTTTTATTTTTCCAATCTAAAACTTCTAATTTTTAAAAATTAAATCACATCGCAAACCAAACAAAAAACAATTGCGCATCAAACGTACGCACCGAATTTCTGTGCAACTCCGTGTTGACATACCAACCGTTGACGTCATTCGCTACCTTTACAAGAACCTTCAAGATCAAACGAATTATTTTACGACCAAAGAAAATTAACGGAGACGTAAATATTATGTTGGGTGAGTGAGTTATTCATTATTATTAAATACTAGTCGACCCGCGGCGTAACATACGCCGCTATTTAGTGACCCAGGACTTCCTGATAGACACAGTTGTCCAAAAAGGGTGGGTTTGGGCAAACTACTGTAAGGGAATGATAGGAAGTAACTCTGGAGAGAGCAACATATAATTGTCCATGAGTGAAAACAGGTTTTGGAAGATACAGGCATATCTTTTTGAATGTTTGCCCCTGTGCTTTATTAATTGTCATGGCAAAGGCTAATCTGACAGGAAATTGTCTGCGCGTAAAGGTGAAAGGCAAATTTGAATCTGATGGAGTCAAGGATATCCGTGGAATAAGGACAGTTTGTGAGGTAGCAGCAGCGATAGTTTTACACTCCAGTACGTTGGACAGTTTGTGAGGTAGCAGCTGCGATAGTTTTACACTCCAGTACGTTGCGGTGAATGCTGGTAACAGTCAGTCTAGTGCCATTACAGAGACCTCTTGCTGGCATGAGGTTTCTAAGAAGCATGACAACTGAACCAATTTTAATTTTGAGTTTATGCGGAGGCATGCCAGTAGGGGTAAGACTGTTAAGAAATTCTACGGGGAATGAAAGTTCATCTGCGGGATCGTCTGTGACGATGGAGTCAACGCTGGTGAAAGTTACTTCGTCGGTTGGGATAAGTTTCAATACTTGTTCATTCAGGTGCAGGGAGTCTTCGTTCGTGACACTTAGTATAGCTCGCGTACTGAGTTGTTCTGAAGTGACAGTTGAGAAGTCGATGTCGCCATATAGTAATTGAACGGGATCAGAATGAAGAGGGAAAGAATGTGACGGTAATGTTACAGGTGTTCCAATTGTCCCGTCTCCAACATCGAGAAGCCATTTTGCAAAATGCTGTTCGTCAGGAAGAGCTCTCATATGTGTCGTCAGTGTAAGTACATGCATGTGACGCCACAAAAGTTGCTTGTTTATGCAACTGGCGACAGTGTAAGTACATGCATGTGACGCCACAAAGGTTGCTTGTTTATGCAACTGGCGACAGTGAGTGCTCGGGAGCCACGCAGAATGACGGGGAGTATTTGTCGGAAATCTCCACCCAATAGAATTGTTTTCCCTCCAAATGGGTGCGTCTCACCTGTGAGATCACGTAACAACCTGTCAACTGCCTGAAATGCGTATGCATGTGTCATTGGCGCCTCGTCCCATATAATCAATTTGGATTGCATAATATGTTGCGCGTGTTGCGAGATAGGTTTGATATTGCATGTGGAAGTAGGAGTGAGCTTCAACGGGATTTTAAATACCGAATGGGCAGTACGTCTACCCGGTAACAATGTTGCAGCTATTCCTGTAGATGCAACGGTTATAGGAAAGTCTCCCCTGGCTCTGATGGTATGGATCAGAGTTTTATAGACAAAGGTTTTCCCTGTTCCTGCCGGACCATCTAAGAAGAAGCAGGTTTGTCGCGGTCGGGAGTCTGTGTATGCAGCGTCCAAAACAGTGTCAACGGCGTGCTTTTGTTCAGTGTTGAGTTTGTCGTAGTGTTCTATAGCGTGGGGGTGTTCAGCCTGAGCATCGAAATCGGAAGATGAATGACACATCAGAAGAATGTCAGTGAGGGGTAGGTGTAATTTGTGCAGGTTGAGGCCATGTGGTTGAAGCATGCCATTTATTTCTGCGACAGCATGCATGCAAGCGGTGCGTGTGGAATATGTTCTGAGAATGTCCTCAGAAAGGGAGAGTTTATGCGTGTCCCAAAGGTGTGGAACGTTTTGTGGTTCGCCGAAGACACAGATGAAAACGAAAAGTTGTCGCAAAAACGCTGGCATTCGTATATTAGATGCCTCTATAAGTGTATCATGCCATATCTTCTCGTCTTTAAGAAGACCCAATAGTTGGCACGCCTCTTTGAAAGTGTTACATTCCACGCCGTTGGCAGTTCGTAGATGCTTGAAACTCGTGATGCTTACGGAACGGGTAAGGAGAAGCCTGAGGTAATAACGTTCGGTGTCGTGATTGGCAACAACAGGCATTCTACCGATCACCTTTGCACCTCCTCTAATTCTCTTTTGCCATTTTCCAGAGGATTGTTGGAATGTGTAATGTTGGGGAACATCAGTGTAATGTAACTCCACAGCTTCAGGATCCGTTTTATTGATTTCAAACCAAGCTAAGAGCATGGCGTTTTTGTTGGCCTGTTTTTGTAGTGCTTGTTCTTCCTGACCCTCATGAAAGAAGACGACTTGTTGTTCTGGCAAATGAACTGGTAATCGTGTTATAACGTGCGATTTTTCTGAAAGACTGTACTCGTTCAAACGCCACATAGCCTCCGGAGCACTAACATACCTAGCATCAAGAAAAGTTTGTATTTCGTCATGTTGGAAAACACCATCGGCCGGCTCCTTCTGAAGTGCAATGGATGCAGCGTCTTGTCCTTTGTAGACGTACTTATATAGATAGTTGATACATTGAACGGACGCGCACACTTCAACGTTAATATGAGCATTGAATTTCTGAGAAAGCCAGGGATTGTAAGGTACTATCCAACGATTGTCGATGTCGTGTTTGCCAACAATGGCAGTTCTGCCCTGCCTTCGTCGGTATATGGGGTACCCTTGTGTGTTTTCTTGAGTCTCGGCGTTGAAGTCCTTTGAAATTTTTTTTTTGCACTTGCCGTCTTTCATGCAAGATGAGCTGGAATTGAGCGTGCCACACGGACCATGTACCATGCATTTAGTGACAATTTGGAAAAGTCGAGGGTGTATTTCGGGATTTGGAAGCTCAGCGCAGACATATTTGTCTATGTCATCTTTGGTCCTTATTTTGCACTGTGAATCAAGTGTCAGTAACATATGACAATGAGGCAAGCCTCGTTTTTGGAACTCAATGACAAAAATGTATGCGACTACATTGCCGAAAATATTCCTCTCCAAAATGTCAGTTAGGAACTCCCGCAGTTTGATATGAAAGACGCGGGCAACGACATCAGGCCTGTGTTCTGGTCGCTCATGATGGGAAATGGTGTTAGAGATTGCCGGCCAAGCAGGATTGCAGGTGAATTTTAGGAATAAGTCAGGCTTGCCACATTTGCGGACAATCGCCATCGTGTCTTGGTAGTTCTGTTGCATGTACCGTGGACTGCCTTGAAATGTAGAGGGAAGAATGATCAACTGTCCAGGGTGAATGTTATTGCCTTGTGCTTTCGCAGCGATAGCATCAATCAGTGCCCTGTATTGTTCTACGCGCAAATCTTCTTGATGGGAGCGTAGGTAATGTAAACGCGCGCCTTCTGTTCTGACATATGCGTCGACTACATATTGCTGGAACAGTTTGCCGCTGGAATGCAAGATGCTGAATGCAGATCTCATGGCAAGCCTGTAGGCATAAAATTGGAGTTGTGTGACTCTGGTTCTGTTTGCGGTTCGCTTTTCTTCAACATGGGCCAATTGTATGTGCCAGCCTGGATCTTCGTAAGGAAATAGCAGTGGATAAACCATGGGGTCACAGTTCATATTGAGTACAGAGATACGCTTGCAGGCATCTCCTCTTGGATATATACAAATATCGCGTTGTGCAGGAGGTTCCCCGTCTTCCCCTACAAAGATACCAGCAACATCAGTTTGACAGGAGGGTGCGTTGTACCTTCTCATTTCCATGGTTGGATTTTCCATGAATACCATTCGTACAGAAGAAACAGGGTTACTATGAGTTATAATGTCGTGCATTTGCATGTAAGATTTAGCGAAGGGGTTAACCTGTCGTATCATTGTGTCTAGTTCAAACAACAACATTCTACTGCAAGTACTGTTACAATCATTTTGCAAACGTTGAGTGCTAGCCTCAGCAGAATCGAAGATATATAGTTGACCGTATCGAGGGGTCGTGTTAGGATTGGTGTACAAAGGACTGACTTGATGATAAATTTGACCGTGGATTTGGAATGCATATGGTCCATGACCAGGTGGTTGAGCAATGTCTGCGCCCATTGATGCGAAAGCTAAAGCAGAGTTGTATTCCCTGATATGATCACAGAAATGTCGGGACAGCGGATCCTTGCCACTCAAGAGGTTTTGTAATAAAGGAGGAGTTTTGGATAGCGGTGGCAATGACACTTTGCCGCTATGACAACACTTAGTGTAATGTCCTGATTTGTTTACCTCTGATGGCCAATGAAGAGCATTGCAAGAAGTACATAGTGCGGTAGGTAGTCCAATGTCATGTTCTTCTATGAAAAGGGCAGTGTCTTCTTGAAACGCAGCGGAAAGTTGAATGTGATGAATTTGCATGTGTCTTGTGAGAAGATGCGACTGTTTGAAAGAACGTTTGCAATGTACACACTCAAAGAAGGATTTCGTCAGGGCATGAGTTTTCAAATGTTTGATAAGATTTTTGCGTGCGAGAAACTGTTTGTCGCAGATGCTGCAAAGAAATGTTGTTGAATGTGTTTCTACATGTACATGTTTAGTTTGTAAGTGCTTCATAAGAGTGCGAGTTGTTTTGAAGCATTGCTGGCAATATTCACATTGCATCATTCGTTCAGTGGAGTGTGTTTTTAAATGTGCTTTGAGATATTTCTCTAGTCGAAAGGTTTTGGAACAAATGGTGCATTTAAATTCAGCGTTTGCTGACTGGAGTGTGTTTCTAAATGTGCTTTAAGATTATTTTTTCGTGTGAACTGTTTTGAGCAAATGTTGCAATGAAAACCCGACGTTTGTAAATGTTCATCAGTAACAGGAGAGTGGGCAGCTGACGTCACATCAGTGTGGAGATCACATGGGTGCGTAATGTTGGTGCACATGCCGACGTTGTCAACAGATGGCACCAGAAGGGCATCACGTGTGTTTGTGAAAGGCAAGAGAACTTCGTAATGGCCATGATCCAAAGGACCGCTAAATAGCAGGGATATGGAGAGACGTTGACCCGTATTGTAAACTCGAGGAGGGTCATGTGGACGTTCTCGAAAATAAACAGCGATAGTAGCGGGAAGTATTTGAGACATCGCCACAATTTCAGCCTCGCCACCGTAAACGCCGGAAGTATTCATGTAGGCAGCGTATTGTTGAGCAGAGTGTATGACTGTGCTCCCGTGAGTAAGAACAACGGACAGGGCGTCGCCATAGTTGTCCCAATGTTCGCAAAAAAAGCTTACAGCCATCTTGCGAAGTTCGAGAGCAACAGTTTCGTCAATGACATTTTTCCAAAAATACGCGACAGATAGGAATAAACAATTACCTGATGAAGGAATTTCGACTACATGGAAAGACCTGTTGACTCCACGAAATATATTTGAAGCGGTGGCCATTGTTAGGAAACAAAGGGGCAAAATCAAAACAATGCTTCGGGGCAAACGTAGCTCAGACCACTGTAGGAGATACCAAAGCAACTGAGGACACAGGAGCGACTGAGGTACACACTGCTGCGGGTACACACTGTTTCGCATGCCCCCCCCCCCACCCCCCATGAAGGCAGCCTCCCGTGACGACAGTTTACAGACGACAATGAAAATATCAAGCAGAACTTGTTATCTTCCCTTAGTTTCAAATAATTTAAAAACTAAATTATCTGCCCCTAATAGCCGTCAATTATTGGGACCATCTCTAATTATATAAACATTAAGCGTGAACCACAGCTCACCAGACCATGTGGGGGTGGGGGAGGTTGATTTACGCCTAGTGAAGAATGAAGAAGAGAGGGGACTGTAAGGCGCGCTTGCAGCTTGTTTTCTAACGGCTCCCAGAAGAGAATTATATATATAGATAATCGGATTTTGTCATAGCGATTGATAAAACAACTATGAAGGGGTTGGTAAATGCGCAAAATAAGCTGGTGGCTTTTGGTACGTCCAAAATATAAAAAAAAACAACCCTGTTCTAGACTCTAGTTCTTTCTAAAAATCATTTGTAAAGTAACTCTTGGAAGTACCTTCCCACATTCGTACGTGTTATAACTTCATCTCACTCGATAAATTAGCTATCATATTACTTCATCAATTCGTCCATCAATCCCTTTGGCTCAACAACATTACTTCATCAATCCCTCCATTAATCCCTGTAACTACAACATTACTTCATCAATCCGTCCATTAATCCATGTAACTACAACATTACTTCATCAATCCGTCCATTAATCCATGTAATTACAACATTACTTACATCCAGACTTATCTGCTGATGTCTTACATCTAGACTTATCTGCTGATGTCTTACATCCAGACTTATCTGCTCATGTCTTACATCCAGACTTATCTGCTCATGTCTTACATCCAGACTTATCTGCTGATGTCTTACATTCAGACTTTTCTGCTGATGTCAGACTTATCTGCTGTCTTACATCCAGACTTATCTGCTCATGTCTTACATCCAGACTTATCTGCTCATGTCTTACATCCAGACTTATCTGCTGATGTCTTACATTCAGACTTTTCTGCTGATGTCAGACTTATCTGCTGATGTCTTACATCTAGACTGATCTGCTCATGTCTTACATCCAGACTTATCTGCTCATGTCTTACATCCAGACTTATCTGCTCATGTCTTACATTCAGACTTTTCTGCTGATGTCAGACTTATCTGCTGTCTTACATCCAGACTTATCTGCTGATGTCTTACATCCAGACTTATCTGCTGATGTCTTACAAGTCTTGACTCAAGCTGTTGTAGGAAACGGCGTCACTATGTCGGGTGTCACTCCCCCTCAGAAAATATTTACATTTTCGCTTTAGTGTCACCCCTCTGCCCCCTACTGTTTTATTATTTTAACTAGAGAACGCATTGATTTTAACGATTTCACTATCTTCAATTTGGTTTCCCCACCCTAACTGGTATCGCTTTGGTATCGTAGGTCTGTCGTCATATCGTCTGTCGATCTCTAAGCCTAGGTTTCTCCTTTTTAATCAACCAATGGAAGTGGACACCACGATTCCGACGGTCAGAAGTAGCTTCAATGGTAGCCGCTTGGTGAGTAACTTAAAGTTGTCTCGTACTGAACATTTCCGTGTTGTGTTAACGTTTTTAATGTTGTGGGAGAACGTTTTTTTTCGTGTAAATTTTTTTGTTTGTTACTATTCTCCTTGATTTTCCAGAACATTGCAATATGTTGATGAGCATATGTGCATATCAGTGGTCAATTGCATTTATGGTCGGCTGCAAATGGGGGTCAGCTACAGTTACGGTCTGCTGCAAATGGGGGTCAGCTGCATTTATGGTCGGCTGCAAATGGGGGTCAGCTGCTGGGGGTCGAATGTACATTGGAATCCTCTACAGTTGGGCGGACACCTGTGTTTGGGGGTCAGCTATAGTTGGGGTCATCCCTAAATGGGGGTCAGCTATAGTTGGGGTCATCCTGAAATGGGGATCAGTTGTTGATGGGGGTCGGCTACAGTTGGGGTCATTCCGAAATGTGGGTCAGTTGTTGATGGGGGTCAGCTACAGTTGGGTTCATTCCGAAATGTGGGTCAGCCTCTGTTGCAGTCGCCTCTATATGGGGGTCAGTTACTGTTGGGGGTGGCTACGAGGAGTGGGTAAGGTTCTGTTGGGGTCGCCTGTGTATGGGGATCAGCTTCTGTCGGGGGTGGCTACCAATTGTGGGTAAGCTGATGTTGGGCTCGCCTGTTTAAGGGGGTCAGCTAATGTTGAGTAATTTTGAGTAGTCACCTTGATATGTGGGCTGAGTTTTGCGGGGTCATATGAGGTCAGCTAAAAATCTCGAGTATGTGACAACGACCTGATTGCAATGACCAACTCGACGATGACATAATCGTCAATGACCACGTCGATGATTGTAGGACGTAAGCCTGGATCTAAATCCGAGAGGTTTAACCTTGTGATTCTGTTTTTCTTGTAACCATAGCCACATGAAGACACACTAAGTCAAATAATACGGCTCCTGATCCCCGCATCAAACTATGCCAGACATCAAATGGACAGGCTGTTTTCTTATTTTAGGCCACTAATTTTATGAAGTCGAACAAGCAGTTGTCTGAAACGTTAGTGTGTGTGTGTGGTCAGAATTCTAAGTTCCAATCTTTGTGTTGCAGGGAAACACCACTTCAATGAGAAGCAAGACCTGGTTTCTAGTTTTCATAGTCTTCACGCTGTTCAGTAAGATGTTTAGAATTTAAATTCATTATATATATATATATATATATATATATATATATATATATATATATATATATATATATATATATATATATATATATATATATATATATATATATATATATATATATATATATATATATATATATATATATATCTTTCATTTGTATACTTAAAAGTTCCCTTTTTAAAGCTGACGGTCTGGGCACGTGAAGTAGAGTTCACTTGTTTCTGTGACCTCAGCATATGAAGAGATAGTGTGGTCAGCACTATACCCAGCCACCTTTACTCTCCCTAACGTGGGTTAGGTACCTATCAGAGTTGGGTGGACTCAGGGAAGGTCTACTGACTTTAACCCGGATTCGAACTCGAGACATACGGAGCTCTCTACCGCTAGACCACTCCTTCCCATATATGTATTGTTACATACATATATATATATATATATACACGTACATATGTAAGCAAGTACGCTCGCTCCCAGGCACTAATGTATGTATGTATATATATGTGTGCGTGCATGCTTGCGTGTGTGTGTATGTATGTATGTTTGTACGTATGTATGCAAGTATGTTTGTATGAATATATCAGATATAAACTTGACCATTGTTACAGGTAGCGTTGATGGAGGTACGTGCACTTTCAGAGACTATTGGAATGGTCTTTGCCATGTAGTAGAGCCGTAAGTTTATATACAATCTATTTCTAAATCTAATCAAAAATTTAATTTAGCTGCACATTTGAGTGTGTCATTTATTTTTTTCATGTTAAACTTGCTTTCAGTCAGAAAGAAGCCCAAGCACCCCCTGCTACTGAGGCGGCTACTGATTCAGCCATGCAAATGCTTGCTTGCACCTTCTCTGCATGCCTGTTGTTTTTCGCAGCGGTTGGAGCAGGTAAGATATTTAGGATATGAGGTCTAGACTAACCCCCCCCCTCCTTGTAGCAACGGTAGCTCTTGTGACCCCACCATGACCCCAAGTACGTGTGATACTGTGTGTGGGGAAAAATAAAAAAAAAGTCGTCACAGTCATTTTCAAATAGCTATTGCTGCAATAGACCTACGTATGCTATAGGCTTACAGATTTAAAAAAAAAAAACTGAACTCAACGTGACTCCGATTGTGTCTTGTATGTAGAAGAAAAAATACCATACGGTATTTCAGTACCTTATTTCAATAAGGGGTCTTCCATAAATAACGTCACACTCGTACGGGGGAGGGGGTCCGTAATTTAGTGATGTGCGATGGAGGGGGGGGGGTGTACAGGTAGTGTGACGTCATAATTTTGTATTTTAAAATAAACGTTAGAAACTAAATTTTAGCCGCTATTACGCGTTTAAGAAAACTTTTAAAAACAAATTGTAATAGAAATCTATTAAAATAACCTATGTTGGTGGAGCTTAGTTAATATTTAAAAAAAAAAAAAAAAAACGATGTTTAAAAAGGAAATTAATTTTGAGGAGAAGGGGGGGTGGAGTCTGGCTAGGCTATTGCGATGGAGAGGGGAAGTAAAAATCGTCAAAAACAACAGCAAAATGTGACGTCATTTACTGCGGATGACCCCTAACAATTTACAGTACAGCTATTCCAAAAGCATAAACAACAGACGTAGCTTGGCTACCAAAATGGTTAACTTTTGTTCACATATCAGATCCTTTCTATTTTCAGCTAATCTGGTCGATTTCATTTTCTATCACATGAACCTAAACCTTTTGAATTACAATTAATCTAAATCTAGGCTCTTTACGGTTTAAGACTAACATTTTTACCATGCCAATCTTTAAAAAAATATATGGCGTAATTTAAAATTGAAAACAAGAGTACAACTAGACTAGATTAGAACAGTTTAAATTAGTTTAATGTTAAAATAAAACTTAATTGCCACTTTTGTTACATTGTAAAAAAAAATTTAAAGTTGTTTATAAGATAAATATGAAATTGCAATTAGACAAGACTTTTAAGGGGGCAGTATCACCCAGACATTTGAAAATTGACAAAAAAATTTGCCAAAAAAAAAATATTATACCTACACACATAAATTTTTTACCATAATAGTAATTAATAAGGAGCTATAAAACAGCACATAAAAGAAAGTTAACGTATGATGCAAACACTTTTTATAAATAATTTTACCAAAAAATGTTTACTAAGTAATTTTAGGCTGTGGTTTACCAACATTTAGGCCCATCCTGCTGAAAATGCTCTAGGGGATGCATAACTGGGTAGCCTATGGCCGGAACTAGGAGATATCCATTGTGACAAATTTTAAAATTTTTAGAATTTTTCAAAGTTAGACCAAAAAAATTGAACTTTGAAATTTTCTAAAAAATTTATCTGTCATTAGAATACTATTATTTTAGTTCCGGCCATAACCATTAACGCAAGGAATGTTTATACCAAATTTTAAGTACTTTACTTATGGTTTCGAAAAATTGTTTACAAAAAAATTAAAATGTGATAAAATATTAACAAAATAATTTTTTGAAAATTTATTGCCATACATATACCCTACAATTTATATACTGTATTATAGCAGAAGAAACGTTACTACTGCTGTAAAATTTTGACATGTGTATGTCAAATAGTTTTTTTTTGGTGATAGTTTTTGTTTCCCTCCCTTAGTCTGGGTGATACTGCCCCCTTAATGTTATTTTAGAGTAACATACACTTCTTTTATTTAAAATATTAGCTTCATAAAACAATTAATTAGTACAATAATGGTTTGAGACTGCTAATTTTTTTTCCTGGTCTGGTCACATCCCTGAAGGATGAAGAAGCTATTTTTATATTAAAAATACAATATTTTACATCTATATCTCATTAATATCTGTTCAATTTGTATAAGTACTAAAAGGATATCCGATATTAGGTGTCGCGCACGATTCTTGATATAGTATATTTTGACCCAAAATTTTTCCCAATAGATGTTAGAAAGTATTTATTCTGCATAGTTTCTTAGGAATTGAGGTAAACTGATTATTTAAAGTTTTATGGTAGATATTATAATTCCAAATGCATATGCGCTGTTTCAGTCTTGTAGGTCAATGAATTACAAAACCTTAGGGATTTGAATATTGAAATGTGTCTAAAATATTACGAGATGCGATAAAAAGTACGGGGATACGAATTAAAAAATAGATTACCTGTTACATAAAATAATACCATGTTATTTTGTATTCATTTTTTTTACTAATAAAGGACTTCTTTTTAAATAAATATCACAAGATAATACTTTATTTAACTTACGCTAATTTGATATACACAAAATATTATGAAACCAAAATTATACGACAATTTTAAAATAATAGTAACTTAGAATTATATATCATCTACAAAAATAAATAAATATGAATTATTAAAATGAAATGTAAAACAAATTAATGATTAAATTTTATCTTAATTGAATGCTTTTCCTAAAACGATTATTAGAACTTTGCTCGTCAACATGTCTGATCATTTCAAACTCTTCCATCATTTCTTGATGTATAAGTCATATTGTTTTAGTATAAATTCTCTGTCTACGCCTGCTGAATATTAATACCTCCCATCAATTCAACACTTTAAGCGGACGTAATACCCCCCCCCTCATCCCAATCATTTTATGCAGGTTAAATTCCATAGAACTGGCCTACAATACCCCCTTATCCTAATTAATACGCAGGTTAGACCACTACATTGAGCTGGCATACACTACCTTCATCTCAATTATTTTCGCAGTTTAGATCCCCTAGAAAAGAATCCAATTATAAATTATTATTTTTGCAACGGTGAACATCCCATCCATGACATGACGGTGGTCAGTTTTTGTGTTGTCAGCGCTAAGTCTCCGGCCAGGCTCTGTTACTGATGGTCACTTGACCGTCACGTGACCAGGCTCTGTTACTGCTGGTCACTTTACCGTCACGTAGTTGCCAGTAGGCTGTACAGAGAGCGCAGATCATATAGAAGGGTGGGGTGGGTGTGTGGGTGTGGGGGGGGGGGGGGTAACGATATCCATTTTTGGGAATTTTTATTGTTATCATTTATCGTGCGAGGAAATTTAAAGAACGTTGTTAGCAAAAAATCTAAAAGCATTTACATTATGATTATTTTATAGTCCTAGATACTAGAAGCCAAACTAGAATTACTAAACAACCATTAGTCAGATTAATTTACTGTTTTTGCTGTTGAAATGAGCGCTGAAAAAAATAAACATTGAAGAAAATATGATTTCAGCTATAAATTATGTGTTTGGTGAGCCGGATACAAGAATTGCATCTGTTTACAGTACACCCTCTGTTTTTAAAGTACTGTACTGTACTAAACCACCCCGTATGCAAAAAGTGAATCTGTTTACAGTACACCCTCTGTTTTTAAAGTACTGTACTGTACTAAACCACCCCGTATGCAAAAAGTGAATCTGTTTACAGTACACCCTCTGTTTTTAAAGTACTGTACTAAACCACCCAGTATGCAAACAGTGAATCTGTTTACAGTACACCCTCTGTTTTTAAAGTACTGTACTAAACCACCCCGTATGCAAACAGTGAATCTGTTTACAGTACACCCTCTGTTTTTAAAGTACTGTACCAAACCACCCCGTATGCAAAAAGTGAATCTGTTTACAGTACACCCTCTGTTTTTAAAGTACTGTACTGTACTAAACCACCCCGTATGCAAAAAGTGAATCTGTTTACAGTACACCCTCTGTTTTTAAAGTACTGTACTGTACTAAACCACCCCGTATGCAAACAGTGAATCTGTTTACAGTACACCCTCTGTTTTTAAAGTACTGTACTGTACTAAACCACCCCGTATGCAAAAAGTGAATCTGTTTACAGTACACCCTCTGTTTTTAAAGTACTGTACTGTACTAAACCACCCCGTATGCAAACAGTGAATCTGTTTACAGTACACCCTCTGTTTTTAAAGTACTGTACTGTACTAAACCACCCCGTATGCAAACAGTGAATCTGTTTACAGTACACCCTCTGTTTTTAAAGTACTGTACTAAACCACCCCGTATGCAAAAAGTGAATCTGTTTACAGTACACCCTCTGTTTTTAAAGTACTGTACTGTACTAAACCACCCCGTATGCAAAAAGTGAATCTGTTTACAGTACACCCTCTGTTTTTAAAGTACTGTACTGTACTAAACCACCCCGTATGCAAACAGTGAATCTGTTTACAGTACACCCTCTGTTTTTAAAGTACTGTTCTGTACTAAACCACCCCGTATGCAAAAAGTGAATCTGTTTACATTACACCCTCTGTTTTTAAAGTACTGTTCTGTACTAAACCACCCCGTATGCAAAAAGTGAATCTGTTTACAGTACACCCTCTGTTTTTAAAGTACTGTACTGTACTAAACCACCCCGTATGCAAAAAGTGAATCTGTTTACAGTACACCCTCTGTTTTTACAGTACTGTTCTGTACTAAACCACCCCGTATGCAAACAGTGAATCTGTTTACAGTACACCCTCTGTTTTTACAGTACTGTTCTGTACTAAACCACCCCGTATGCAAACAGTGAATCTGTTTACAGTACACCCTCTGTTTTTACAGTACTGTTCTGTACTAAACCACCCCGTATGCAAACAGTGAATCTGTTTACAGTACACCCTATGTTTTTAAAGTACTGTACTGTACTAAACCACCCCGTATGCAAAAAGTGAATCTGTTTACAGTACACCCTCTGTTTTTACAGTACTGTTCTGTACTAAACCACCCCGTATGCAAAAAGTGAATCTGTTTACAGTACACCCTCTGTTTTTAAAGTACTGTACTGTACTAAACCACCCCGTATGCAAAAAGTGAATGTGTTTACAGTACACCCTCTGTTTTCAAAGTTGTGTACCAATCCCCCCCGTATACAAACAGTGAATCTGTTTACCGTACACCCTCTGTTTTTACAGTCGCGTACCAAACCACCCCGTATACAAACAGTGCATCTGTTTACCGTACACCCTCTGTTTTTACAGTCGTGTACCAAACCACCCCGTATACAGTGTATCTGTTTACCGTACACCCTCTGTTTTTACTGTTGTGTACCAATCCCCCCCCCCCCCCCCCGTATACAAACAGTGAATCTGTTTGCAGTACACCCTCTGTTTTTACAGTCGTGTACTAAACCACCCCGTATACAAACAGTGCCTCTGTTTACCGTACACCCTCTGTTTTTACTGTTGTGTACCAATCCCCCCCGTATATAAACAGTGCATCTGTTTACCGTACACCCTCTGTTTTTACAGTCGTGTACTAAACCACCCCGTATACAAACAGTGCATCTGTTTACCGTACACCCTCTGTTTTTACAGTCGTGTACTAAACCACCCCGTATACAAACAGTGCATCTGTTTACCGTACACCCTCTGTTTTTACAGTCGTGTACTAAACCACCCCGTATACAAACAGTGCCTCTGTTTACCGTACACCCTCTGTTTTTACTGTTGTGTACCAATCCCCCCCGTATATAAACAGTGCATCTGTTTACCGTACACCCTCTGTTTTTACAGTCGTGTACCAAACCACCCCGTATATAAACAGTGCATCTGTTTACCGTACACCCTCTGTTTTTACAGTCGCGTACCTAGACCAGAAACTGCCAGATGATGAGCTGGATCAGGAGCCAGAAGAAGAAACAGAAGCCAAGCCAAATTTGAATAGCTGGTCGAACAGACTGTTCCAGGCGGCACGGAGCGTTGTTGTCCGCTAATCTATTCGGACGGCATTGAACGGGTCAGTGTCACCCCGACCTAGAGTTTGTGTTTATTTGTCCTTACTTAGCTCTAAAAGCGTGACAGGGTTGTGTTCAAAATAAAAATAAAGTAAGTCGAAAAATCCGCCACTCTTTTTTCATTAACGTTCAAGTTAACATTTTTCTTTTTTCTTTTGCTTAGTTAATATATATATATATATATATATATATATATATATATATATATATATATATATATATATATATATATATATATATATATATATATATATATATATATATATAAACATATAAACATATAAACATATAAACATATAAACATAAATGTATATATATATATATATATGTAACAAAACGTATAAAGTAAAAAAAAAACAAATTAAAGCAAAACATATTCTTACGACTTTGAAATAATAATGAAACCATTAGATAACCTTTTAGGAGAATAAATCTTAGTTATTATTTAAAAGATAGGAAGAATAACAAAGTTATAGGAAGACAATTCAAAAAGCTTAATCCTAAGTGTATATTTTTAATGTTTCAACCTCATTACTCAACAAATTGATAAATTGAATGATTCAATGTAAACATACATGGTTTTAAATCTACATCTTATCACCAATAATTCATAGCCTGAACATTCATTCTTTCCTTACACCAGAAAGAGCGCAAATTATCTGAAGAGAATATTTCTAATATCAATTAAACCATTTGATTAATGCTCTTTCCCTGTGTCATTCATCACCGGACGCCCAAGAGACCAGCCATCCTAAGTGCCTCAGGCCACAAGAGTGTCGTTTTTATGCCAGAGCTAGTCTCTGATGTGAAACGTCACAAATGCTATTATTATCCCAATCATTACGCAAAGAGGGATGAAAAACGGCTGTTACTTGTTTATATGCATTAATAATTTTTAAAGCGTAATAATGTAATTATCTAATGAAGTAAGTTTATGTTAAATAAAGAACGTAGAATCTTGTAGATGATATAACTGAGTTAAACCTGAGGTTAGTGTTAAACTGTAGTGTTCTCCTAGATCTGATGTGTACATGAGTTCATGTTTAATTGTAGTGTTCTCCTAGATCTGATGTGTACATGAGTTCATGTTAAATTGTAGTGTTCTCCTAGATCTAATGTGTACATGAGTTAATGTTTAATTGTTGTGTTCTCCTAGATCTGATGTGTACATGAGTTCATGTTAAATTGTAGTGTTCTCCTAGATCTAATGTGTACATGAGTTAATGTTTAATTGTTGTGTTCTCCTAGATCTGATGTGTACATGAGTTCATGTTAAACTGTAGTGTTCTCCTAGATCTGATGTGTACATGAGTTCATGTTAAATTGTAGTGTTCTCCTAGATCTGATGTGTACATGAGTTTATGTTAAATTGTAGTGTTCACCTAGATCTGATGTGTACATGAGTTAATGTTAAATTGTAGTGTTCTCCTTGATCTGATGTGTACACGAGTTAATGTTAAATTGTAGTGTTCTCCTAGATCTGATGTGTACATGAGTTAATGTTAAATTGTAGTGTTCTCCTAGATATGATGAGTACATGAGTTAATGTTAAATTGTAGTGTTCTCCTAGATCTGATGAGTACATGAGTTAATGTTAAATTGTAGTGTTCTCCTAGATCTGATGTGTACATGAGTTTATGTTAAATTGTAGTGTTCACCTAGATCTGATGTGTACATTAATGTTAAATTGTTGTGTTCTCCTAGATCTGATGTGTACATTAATGTTAAATTGTAGTGTTCACCTATATCTGATGTGTACATTAATGTTAAATTGTAGTGTTCTCCTAGATCTGATGTGTACATTAATGTTCAATTGTAGTGTTCCCCTAGATCTGATGTGTACATGAGTTAATGTTAAATTGTAGTGTTCACCTAGATCTGATGTGTACATTAATGTTAAATTGTTGTGTTCTCCTAGATCTGATGTGTACATTAATGTTAAATTGTAGTGTTCACCTAGATCTGATGTGTACATTAATGTTAAATTGTAGTGTTCTCCTAGATCTGATGTGTACATTAATGTTAAATTGTAGTGTTCACCTAGATCTGATGTGTACATTAATGTTAAGTTGTAGTGTTCACCTAGATCTGATGTGTACATTAATGTTAAATTGTAGTGTTCTCCTAGATCTGATGTGTACATTAATGTTAAATTGTAGTGTTCTCCTAGATCTGATGTGTACATTAATGTTAAATTGTAGTGTTCTCCTAGATCTGATGTGTACATTAATGTTAAATTGTAGTGTTCTCCTAGATCTGATGTGTACATTAATGTTCAATTGTAGTGTTCCCCTAGATCTGATGTGTACATGAGTTAATGTTAAATTGTAGTGTTCACCTAGATCTGATGTGTACATTAATGTTAAATTGTTGTGTTCTCCTAGATCTGATGTGTACATTAATGTTAAATTGTAGTGTTCACCTAGATCTGATGTGTACATTAATGTTAAATTGTAGTGTTCTCCTAGATCTGATGTGTACATTAATGTTAAATTGTAGTGTTCACCTAGATCTGATGTGTACATTAATGTTAAGTTGTAGTGTTCTCCTAGATCTGATGTGTACATTAATGTTAAATTGTAGTGTTCCCCTAGATCTGATGTGTACATGAGTTAATGTTAAATTGTAGTGTTCTCCTAGATCTGATGTGTACATTAATGTTAAATTGTAGTGTTCACCTAGATCTGATGTGTACATTAATGTTAAATTGTAGTGTTCACCTAGATCTGATGTGTACCTGGGGCCAAAGCTAGATGGGTTAGGCACTACCTAGTTGATAAGACTTTGTGTCCCAGGGGTATTCTACGTCAGTTCAGTTTCAAAAATTTACATCTCCGACCTGGTGAATAGTAGAGTTCACCTGTTTCTGTGACCTCGGCATAAGGGATAGTGTGATCAGCACTAAGCCCAGCCGCCTTTACTTTCAGTCAAGTAGGCCTACTCATCAGTGATTGGTGGGCTCTAGGGCATTAAACGGGATCCGAACTGAAGACTTTCGGGTTAGCAGCCATGCGCTCTACCATCTAACCACTCCATCACACCAGGCTTCAGGCTAAAGTTTAATTGTGACATCCTCCATGTTTCACCAAAGTGAATCATTGCTTTAATTAGTGTGTCTAAAGCTTAAAAAACATAATTGATTAGACAAATGTCGATTGAAATACCCAACCCCTGACATAACATGAACACAGAGGCGTAGCGAGGGGGGGGGGGGCGGGGGTGCGGACCGTACCGGGTGACACCATTTAGGGGGGTGACACCAAGGCAAAAAATAGCAAAATATATAGAGAAAAACTTGAGGGGGGTGCAAATCGAAAGTTTGAGGGGGGTGCAAATCGAAAACTTGAGGGGGGGGGGGTGCAAATCGAAAGTTTGAGGGGGGTGCAAAGCGAAAATTAGAAAGTTTGTCCCCGGGAAGGGTCGCTACGCCTCTGGGGGGGGGGGGGGTGACACCATTAAGTGCCGCACCGGGTGACACCCGACCTCGCTACGCCACTGCATGAACATGAGACCAATCAGCAGGTTATACATCTCATTCAATGAACATTTTCATTCAATGAACATTTTCATTCAAGGAACATTTTCATTCAATGAACATTTTCATTCAATGAACATTTTCATTCAATGAACATTTTCATTTAATGAACATCACAATCACTTTCAATGACAATCTCATTCAATGAAATTTTCATTCAATGAAGATTTCATTTAATGAACATCTTAATCAGGTCAAAACCTGATATTTGTTTAAAGCGTATACTGTAGTTTTCATTGGTAATAGTGTATATGAAAGTAATGATTGTATTGTTTCACACAGACTTCATGTAGAACGTAGTGGTATTTAATAGAGAACATTTCAACAATAAAGACCTGACAAGCAAATAAAATAAATCTTTAAATTTAGAGAGAAAAAGTTCTATTTACAGAAATAAAACTACATGCAATTTATATTACAAGACCTAATATTGAAACATTTTGTAAATTTGTCAAAGAAGGGTGGAGGCTAGTAGATATCCAGGAGAAGATATTTAGATATATAGAGAGTATTCGTTTTAGAAACACACACAGAGAAAATGAGAGGGTATTAGCTTCAAACAAAAACACACACATGCTCACACACAAACTGAGAGAGAGAGAGAGAGACAGAGAGAGAGAGAGAGAGAGAGAAAGAGAGAGAGCCAGAAGAGAGAATTAACTTGTGAGTAGCCAAGCTGGACAATACCTTTAGCCCAGAGCAGGATTAAAAATTAACATCAACCGTTCCATCGATGACAAAAGTTTTCCAGGCTACAACAGGGACTTCAATTTATCAAGTCTGGAATAGAACATGAAGCAGAGATGCAGCATAAAACAAATCAGACATGCAGTATACACTAGCATACAACAACAGCAGAAACGCAGAATATAACAACAGACATGCAGCATACATCTTACAACAACAGCAGACATGCAGCATATATCAACAGACATGCAGCATATAACAGCAGACATGCAGCATATAGCAACAGACATGCAGCAAACAACAACAGCATACAAGCAGCATACACCAACATACGACAGCAGCAGACATGTATTATACAACACCAGACATGCAGCACAAAACTGCAGATATGCAGCATACAACAACGACATGCCGTATACAACAGCAGACATGTATTATACAACTGCAGACATGCAGCATACAACAACATCATACATGTAATATACAACAGCAGGCATGTAGCATACAACAACGACATGCTTCATACAACAGCAGACATGTATTATACAACAGCAAACATGCAGCATACAACAACAGTCCTGCAGCTTGCTAAAACAAAAGTCTCGAGTTCGGATCTCAGTATTGAGTCCGCAGGAGTCTACCCAGCTCTATTGGGTACCTAACTCATGATAAGTAAACTAATGCAGGAGTCTACCCAGCTCTATTGGGTACCTAACTCATGATAAGGAAACTAATGCAGGAGTCTACCCAGCTCTATTGGGTACCTAACTCATGATAAGTAAACTAATGCAGGAGTCTACCCAGCTCTATTGGGTACCTAACTCATGATAAGGAAACTAATGCAGGAGCCTACCCAGCTCTATTGGGTACCT